CCCTTTCTGTGGCTGTACTCAGGATTGATACAGAAATTCTCTTTCAAAGCTCCACTTTGGATACGTTTGTTTTTGTTTTGGTCGGGCAGGGAGTTTTTACAAATCAGCCTTCTGTTTTATCTTTATTATTTTTTCCTGTACAATAGCTGGAGAAATCCACTAAGCACTGAAACGACACGCAGATTGCTGTACAAAAACAGTTGTACAACTTTTACTCTCATTATTATTCCTTTTACTACGTAGTTTGGAAACGTAGTCATGGAGCAGGAATGTATCGTACTCTGCACTGCACAAACAGCATAAAAGGAAATTTTCCCCTTAGCAGCTGTATGGAGTGAAAACATGTCGTGGTATTGCAACAATTTGTCCTAAACAGCACCGTGGCAAGATGTTAAGATGCATATGAGAACCAGCTCTACCCAGGTCCTCAGCAAAATGCTGTTCTCCACCCCAAAATCCAGCAATTTGCACAGGGAAATGCTCTATTTCATATGTAAAGGGGGAGGGGGTAATTTCCTCTGCCCCCTACCTGTCCCCTCACCGTGTATTTCGGTGACTCATGAAGCTTCAAAGTGCTGAGTGCAGAGAACGGCTATTTCTGTGCTTCCACTGCAATCCCTGCTACCTCCAACTGTGCTGTCAGTGCACCTCAGCCATGCAGAGCACCCCCGCGGGCTCTATTCTTAGCAGCTAATAGCTGAAATAATTACTTTTGTCTCAGCACTGTTGGCTCCTTGGATTTGGAAGTGAGCAAAACCCACAGCTCGGGAGGGTCGGGACTGCTGCAAGGCAGTGAGCTGAGCTGGGGCTGGGGGATGCTGATGCCCCAAACCTGACTTCATCACAGGGCATCCACTGTGCTTGGAAGCAGCCTCTCTGTTCCTGTGGCACCATCCCTTTGAAAAGGATCTCAGCTCTTCCAGCTGGGATTTTCTTAGGCTTCAAAGGACAAACGCCAGACTGCGGCTTTTCAAACGGACGGCCAGGTTTGTCCCCTGCAGGTTTCCATTTTGGTGCCATCCTTATTGCACAGAAAATGCAAAGCTTCGATGCAAATCCCAACACCATTTCACCCTTGGCAGTTGCTGGGATCTAACCCACACCTCTAGCCTTTGATCTCAACGGCAGCTATTCCATCTCCTTCCCCTGAAACCCCCAAACCCTGAAAGGATGATGAGAACCCACCCAACAGCTGAACAGTGCCTGCAATACAGTGAGAACAGAATGAACTTTATAAAAAGCCAGTTCTTTGCCCTGCACACCTGGGTAGGTGCAAAAAAAACAAGCTCAGAAGTGCTCCAGAAGGGGTTTGTACTGCTATTAATACGCCTACCTGCTCTGTGGTTGGGTTGGGACCGCAGTGTGCACACGCTGGGCTGGCAAAGATGAGTGTCACAGAGATGGTGGTTGAGTTCATCACAGCCAGGAATCACTGCAAACACACCAGAAGCCATTCCTCTCATATTCACTAACGAAAATCATCTGGATAGCAATAAACCTCTCAGGAAAAGCAGAACAAAACAAAACAACATGCTAAACCTAAACGTTTGACTCGGTAACTTTCCTATTACTGTTGCAGCAGAAGGAAATTCAGCACACTGTACTGTGTAGAACATTCCCCCATGGACCCAGCTGGGGGTCCTGACATCCAGACTGTCTCTCTGATAGGACAGCACTGTGGGACCACAACCCATCTGTCATTGCCTACGTCCATGTGAAAACAGAAGCAAAACTTTAAAGTTTTATTTCTGCTTTTCTTTGAAAAACGAAAGAAAGTATCTCCTCTAAATGATTTCCTATCAATTTCCTTTAAAAGCCACACTGTTCCGGCAGCTTCTGTTTCAGATGGCTGTTAAGTCTCTCTAATTGACTTCAGAAAGGACTACAATTAAGCAAGAGGCGCAGCTGGAGTAAAATTTAGGATTTAGGAACTCCCAAATTTCCATCTCAGCTTTGACCCTGAATCCACATGCAATCTGAGCCAAATGACTAAACCTTCATTTGATTCAGTCTTCCCATACCCAAAACTGCATTAATTTCAAATACAATGCAGGATGCCACGTCAGCACACCTGAGAAACATCACCAAACATCACCGCTTGGTGTTCAGGACATTTGGTTGGCAAACTGAAGACCTTTGTGCCAAGCACTGTTACTCAGTGTGACATTAACTTGATCACATTCTGACTGCCTGCTCCCAGGGTGACGCGTTGAGACGTCATTCACGTGGACGCTGAGGTCGGGCACTTACACACATTTACAGCTGCACAGACTTGCTGAGCCTTGGGCAGGAATTTGTTTGGCATTGCTGAGGCCTTTGGCTTATTTGATCTCAGCCTTTTAGTTAAACAGGAACATGCCCTGATTTTAACAATCACAGCTTCCTGCAGTTGGGAGGAAGGTGTGGCTGATGGCATTTAAAGTGGAACTGGAGCCAAGCCTTCACCAGAGGGAAGTTGAAGCACTGCGCAGCACCGCTGGGGCTCTGCTCATCATTAAAAAGACCAAGGACCTTTCTCCAGGGACAGCCAAAGTTATTTTATCACCCACAACACCACAAGGCATTGGATGACATTTGCAAGTGTTAGATTTTCATAACTTCACCCTCCGTATGTTATTGCTATTAAGGCCATTGTAGCATGACAGCAGAAAATAACACAGAAGATGCCAAAGAACTGAGGATGCAGCTCTACGTTCCGTTGGCGTACAAACAGCAGCAAGCCTGCACTTCTGCTCGCTGATGAATTGCTTTCCAGTCCTTTCCCAAACACCTGTCCCTCTTTAGAATGGACACAGCCACTATAACACACACAGCCAGATCCCTCTGGCTGCCTCCCACCTCTGCCATAGGCTCTTTCCAGCTGCCAAGCTCCCTTTCTAGCACTGGACATTGCTTCCTCACAGTCTTTACAAAACCAAAATTCTGATGATTAAAAAAATAATAATAATAAGGTGGTACCATGTACGTCCATAGGCTCCACTTAAAACAGGAGCCCTGATTTCTACCATGGAATGACAGGGTTTGTTTTCAGCTTACTTCAGCTCGCAGGCCAATGCCATACCCCAACCAAGCTGTCCATCACTGTGTGTTTTTAGTTGGAGTACCTGAGTGCTTCACAGGGCACAGCGGCTTTGATCCTTCATGGGAGCTGAAGTGCCTCCACAGAGTAAATACTTTATGATGAGGTAAAGAGAGAAATGTCTCACGGCTGGTCATTTTCAAACGAAAGCAACCCATTAAATAAACACTGCCTTTCCCTTGAAAGCAACCAAAAGCATGTAATTTGAAATAAACCAAAGCTCCATTTTATTTTCTTAATATACCAGCGTTGCTGGGAGCCAAGCATGCCCATCAGCTGTCCCAACTTCTCAGGCTCTGTCCATCCCACTGCCATGCTCAGTGCCTGGGGGCTGCAGGGTGGTCTGAACAGGGCTGGCAACTGTGGGCACTGCAGATCAGATCGGCTGCAGGCAGACACAGCAATGGGGAACACAGAAATCCTCTCTGCCTCTGTGTTGGTTGAGCTTCTGAGATAACTCAGGAGTAACGGAAACTGACTGCGCAACCTTGCACGAAGTGCTGGCCTACTTCAGAGCATCACTGCTGAGTGACTCATTTAAGTAGCCAAAGCACTCTTACAATTAACTGAAACAGTTAACGCTTGCAGCTTTGGCCACAGAGCAGATCTGTAAGGCTTGAAATCCCATGCGTTTGGTCGTGTAAGAAACCCCATCTTGCAGCATTTCGTTGATCAAGCATTACTGCTCTTGGTCACAGGAGGTCTGCATCAGATACAACAAGCCTTGTGCTTCCTGTACTGCTGACAATTCAGTTCACAAGGGCCAGCTCCTCACCCCACGCTGCCCTCCCACATCCCCAGCTCCTATCTTTTTTCCATGGTAGAACTGTATCTGAGAAACCAGGAGCTCGCAATTCTTCTCATTTATGTCTGTGTGTAACAGGTGTCATTTTCAGTGTAGTACAGACAAATCCCAAAATAGCTCAGGCTCTTCAGACGCTGTAAAGAGAAAAAAAAAAAAATAGTGGTTACTTCAGCCCTGGTTGTAGTGAAAAGCCCAAAGCTCACAGCCAGCTCCAGAGCTCAGCACTAAAATGGCAGATGCCTCTGCGTAGTGATCTCTCCTGATTCCGAGGTTTTCAAACGGGCTGCTGGCTCTGTTGCACATGCAGTCTGACGCATGAACTCCCTCATGCAGGGCTGGCCTTCCATTAGCTCCGCTTTGATTCCCAGATGCTCCATCTACCACTGATCCTCCTCCACATTTTCCGGTTTCGAGGCTCTGAGACAGGAGCAGTGCTTCCTCTGCCTGGTGCCGAAGTTGACTGCACTGGAACTAACACAAGGCTGAGGGCTATGGGAGAGGAGAGCCACTCAGCAGCAGCACTTTGCTTGCCTGGCTGTGCCTGCTGTGCTGCAATATGCAGCTGCTGGCGAACCTTTTTGACAGAGATGATTGGATTCTGGAGACTCCCAGAATGCAGCTATTAGTTCCCCTGCCTACACTGAGCATTCTGAATCTGTGTGTGCAGCAACACTTATTAATACTGTTCAGATTAAGTAGTTCCTAGCACTTTCAGTACCTTATCCTACACACTGCTTCTGCTCAGTGGCTGAACCACAGTCAGATCAATGTCTTGCAACAAGCATAACATGATCACGTGGATCCAGCAGCATTTCTGTGCTTTTATGTCCAGAAGTCCCGCATCCATTCCTATGAGTGATTCCTTTTAAGTTGCTTTGTGCTACAGGGTAATGTTGACTGAGTATTCGCAGGATGTAGGCCCAGATCCCTTTATTTCAGGGCAGCAAGCAGTGGTTCCTGACACCGAAACAGTTAATCGAGAAGCACTAACTCTCTACTGGAACGTGTGTGTGTGTGTGTGTTTTTGTTTCTTAGAGCCAAGAAGATTTGCTTTGGTTTTTTTAAAGCAGAAACCACCACAAAGTTGGCTGTGGTTTCAGCTGCGCTCATTTGAGATTTGTGTTGCTGACTACCAATCCTAAAAGAGTTAACCCAGCAAGCATGACTCAGAAGCAGAGAGGGAGATGCGAGGCCGAGAGATTCGGAAGGCAGCACAGAAGCACAGGTGAGGAACATAATAACCACCAAAAAAAGGTGCAGCGTCCAGGAGCGAGGCTCCCTCGGTGTGCCTGGCCCTGGCACTGCTGGCACGGGCTCCCTGGAAGGCTGCAGTTCCGCTGTTATAACACAGGGAGCAGGCTGGAGAATTTAGAGCTGCGTCACAGAGCTCAGCGAGAGAGCGAGAGAGCAAGCTCCGTCGATAGGTCTACCAGCAACAGCCCTGCTGCAGCAAGAGGGGAGAGAAGCAGCCGGAGAGGGAGAGAGGGCTCAAGAAAGAGAAGTAATACCAACACCAGGGACGGAGCTCCTGTCACCAGACGGTGTCATTTAGAGAACGTATCTGGGCTCGGTTGGCGTAGGAGGCTTCGCCCATTGACGATGCTGGAGACCCGGCGCACTTAATCCCGCGGGGAGGGAGAGTGGGCAGACACCAAAAGGGTTAACGGAAAGGAAATTTCTGGAACCTTCTATTCTGCGGCGCTACACAGCAAGCGGAGGGCTGAACGCTGCGCAGCTGGTGCACGGGCAGAGCTCCTCGGTCCGGTTCGTCTTTCCCACGTACGTACCCTTTGATCAGGATGGGGCTGGAGCTGCATCTACGTTTTGTAATGCTTTGCAGGGCGTCCCCTTCCCCCATCGTCCCTAAGTTCAGCTCCCCAAGTGCCTTCATTATTATTTCGGCTGGGTATGATTGCTCTGCTCTGCGTCAGAGCTGTTTTCTCAATGGAACGTCGGCACAGGTTGTACGAATGCCACTCTTGCCAGCATTGCTGTAATGCAGAGGAGGGCAGCAGTCGTGGGAGAGAGATGACAACTTTGCAGACTGCTGTTTTCGTGTTTTGCTCAGGCTTTTTATTCCCTGCCGTCCCCCCGAGGGCTGGCGTGGAGGCAGGGCTGGGTGCAGGGGTTAACAGCCACCCCGTGAGCTGGGATCAGGGTTTTGTCACTGCGTAGTTCAGAAAGTGGCAAACGGTGACGCAGTGATCATTGCAGGGCACGTCGGCCAGTTTTTAAAAGCACTGGGGACAGGTACACGGTGCCTTCCAGACGCTTCCACACCAGCTGAAAGGGGTTAAGGATGAGTCGAGACGGGAAGCTAGCATTTAGGGATTAAATGTCATCATTTTGGCGTTGGAAAGTTGTTTACCTTGCTCTCTCCGTGTCTCCATGTTGGCAGCCTTCCAGCTCACATGTGATAGTCTTCCCTGTACTGCTGCATCATTAACTAAGTGGCTCAGCCGGCTCCCGATTGGCCGGGGAGGGCTCTCGGCCCAAACACGCCGTCTGATTGGCGGAGGAGGCGATGGCAGGTGAAAAGCCTTCTCGGATTGGCCGAGAGCCTGGTGTCAAATCCGAATGTTGGCTGCGCTCGTCTCAAAGTGCCGGGGGCTCCCGGCCCGGTCCGGCCCTGCGGTGCGGTCTGTCTGCTGCCCCGGGTTCGGTCCACGGGTTCGGTCCCCGCCTCCTGCCTGCCCCGCGCCGGCGCCGGGAAGGTTTCGCTTTGCTGTGCCGTTGTCACGATGACGTGTCAGAGCTGCCAAGCTCCACCACGGAAAGAGCTTGGCTTTGGGGCTTTTATTTCTTCCTTTCCTTCCTTCTTTTCCTCTTCCTTAGGCGGTGGTTAAGCACGAGCTGCACTGAGAGCTGCTCGGGGCACCTGGAAATGATGCAGAAGGAAGGGCAGAGTTAGGACGTGGGCAGGAAGGAGGACAGGACAGGGAGGGAAGGACGGACAGAGTGTGGGCAGGCAGCTGTGCCAGAATGGCCAAAGAGATGCCGAGAGGAGAATGCTTCATTCCCTGCACCAGTTACTGTGCTGTTTTGTCACCTTTCTTCTCAAGTGCCCATCAGTGAAGATGTGCGGGGAAGTTCTGAGGACACAGCTGGCTCTGAACTCAATCCTTCTGGCTGTGGAAGTCACCCGATTAAGCACAGAGCAGTAACTTTGCTTTCTTGTACAGCAGGGCACATTATCCCATAGCCCTTCATCACACCAAGGCTTAACCAAGTTTAAGGATGTGGTAGCATAAGCATTTAATCTATATTCGTCACTCACTGACATACCAAGCGTCAGGACCGGTTGTTTAGCAACAACCTCTGGGTTTAGATCCAGCTTGAGCACTGCACTGCTACAGTCACAGCAGTGCCTCTCTTCTGGTTGTCAGGCTGAAGGCAGGGGCTGTGCTGGCACATTGCATCTGCCCAGGTTGGGGCTGCCGGCAGATACAGGCCGCGAGCGCTGCGGTTTTATGCCCGACCATTTCTTTGCGCAGTAACCCAGAGGGGAGGACGCCATTTCCAACAGCAGTGTGGTGGCAAGAGCAAGGAGGGAAGAAGCAAACAGACAGTAGGTGCCACTCCCCAGGTTGTTCCTGTTCCCCATCTCTACCTTCCTCGCCTCCTCTCCTTTCCTGCCGGATTCCAGGGGGGGTTCAGCTCCTGCTGCAGTCATCACAGCCCCTCCTGACTCACTGAGCCCATCGCTGGCTGGAGCATCCTTGCTTCCTGCAGCGCCAGTTCCGCAGAGCAGGGGAGCAACTGGAATAGCAGCAGCAATGGTGGTCCCTACAGCAAGATGGACAGGCATAAATACACACATCTGTGGGAACAGTGCAAGGCAGCCACGGAGGGAATTCTGTCCAGCCAGCAGCTATACTAAGAACTGATTCTTTTTTACGTGGGAGAACAGTGGGTTAAGCCTATCCAAAGGGAGAACCCTCCACGTTTTTCCCTCATCACAGCAGGGGGATGGAGGACCCCATTAATTTGCAAAGGTAGTGCATCTTAATGGCATTTCTCAATGCCTTGGAAGAAGGTGCAACTGGCCGCCACTATAGTAAGGGTATGCATGCTCTTGAGTAGCTGCGTTCAATGTAAGGATGCATTTATTTTTGCTCCTGTCTTTTTGATAGTTTGCAACTAAGTGCAGGCAGGAAAAGGAGACAGAGAGAGAGGAGTTAGTTCAATGTTAAACTTAGGCTGTAAATAGCATTAGTCAGGAATTGAGGTTACTAGCAGCAGGTGGAATCTGTGAGGCTTGCAAGAAACAAGGCTAAGAAGGGGACAGGGCGTATTTCTGTAGGACAGTGGTATTTTGTGCATGTGAATGCTATATGTTAGCTGTACATGGCTAGCTGCTCCACAATGGTTTCCTGTGTATTGCCTCAGAAGGTCTTGCTAAAGCTGTCTACCCTTTCTCCCTCTGACACTTGGGTAAACTGACGTATTTCTCCATATTTTGGTTTCCCTTCTTTTTAAAGCAGGGTTTATTGCACTCTCAGCCTTAGTGCGGCATTGTGACGCAGCGTTCAGCAGTGCATTGGGTCTGCTGGCAAAATACGTGCCATTTTCTTTTGAGTTTAGACCGTTCAAAGCCTGCAAAATTTGGGACAGTTAAGAATCACAAACGCTCACGACACAAATGTAAAAGCATTACCAGCTCATTCTTCTGTGATCCTGAAAGAAGGCTGTCTGAACGATGAGACAGCCATGATATCTTTCTGCACTTGTTTTGCCGATGGTCATGTTACATCTGTGACGCAGTCCGATTTTGCTGTTGGTTGCTGTCTCTGCTCGGTGGGGTTGAGCTGATGAGGGCACAAGCTAGAATAATGTTAGAAGCATTAATTTAACATCGATGTTTAAGTTTGCAACCATACCTGACATGGCAGGGATACTGGCACCCACTGATTTTACCACCCACAAACGGTGAAGGAATTCAGATGAACACAACAGCACCCCTAGCCATTTTGTTGCTCACAGAGTAGGCTCTGAGCCTGCAGTGCTGCTGCTGCTGTTAATTTCCATGTCATACAAATACAGCGTCGGGCTCTGTGTCAGGAGCTTTACTGATGCTGTGAGAAGCTTACAGTCTATGAGGAAATGTTTTTCTTATTTGGGAAAACTCATTAGAACGTCCAGATGCCAAGTATTCCTTCCTCACTTCTCTTACAAATCGCTTCCAGACCTATCCAGAAAATTCACTGTCGCCTTGTATTTTTTTTTTTTTATAAGGACATTTTCTTACAGTTTAATATGGGCGTAGCAGGGGGGGGGGGTTAGGTTGAGATTAAAGCTCCATTAGTTAAGCATCTGTAGCACGGGTGCCAACGGAGGGAGTTGCATGCAAGAGAGGCCCAAGTCACCCATATTCTCTGTATACCTACAGAGAGGCAGATATTTGAGAGCTAGGGCTGGGACCATGCTCTTGTTATGGCGTAAGAAGGGAACACCCTGCCCTGTACTGACCCACACAGATTGGTGCAAAGTAGGCAGCAGAAATGGCCAACGTGGGAATCTCACAAAATGGTTTCAACTGCACTCTGAGATGCAAGTGCCGTTTATACTGGCACAGCTCCGAGAGGTACAATAGCTGCCCGCTGCAAGGTCATTCCTGACTCATTGTCAGGTCCTGGAACTCCCAGTCCACATTTCTTGCAACAGTTGCAGTGCTTGAGCTCTGAACCTGGTGGCGAGGCGTTAAGGTGAAGCTACTGCAGTAGGGGGACAGCCGAGTTTAGAAGCGTAGGTGCAAAATACGCCCGATCTCAGCAGAATATTAAAACCCTGATCTGCAATTTGCTTCTCGAGTAAACTACAAAAACTTGCTCAAAAACTTTGTTCTGGCTCTCTCCCCTTCTCTCCTTCGGACTGCTGGGAGACAGGAGTGATGTATTTTGAAGGACTAGGCATCAACTTACACTCTGTTCCAAAGGGGAAAAAAAAAAGTGCATATATTTGCATTTCTGTTCCTGTAGTCATTAGGAGGTGGACTCCACAGCTGTTCCTGTCACACTGCTGCTACCTCTCGTGCTTTCAGTTTCAGGTACCTCAGCTCTAAGGCTGCTTCACCCCCTGCCAGATTTCCACCTTTTTCTGAGGCATTTCTACCTGTCCATGTCAATGGTATTTTCAGTTGGCTACTCAGGGCAACATCAATAGGCATACTTTATACCCTGCTCTAGTCTTCTCGGCTCCATAGGCAGCACTGAGTACTTAATGCCTCAAGGATCTTCAGCAAAATAACTTATTTTGTCCCCATCTTCACAGTAACAGTTTGGTTGGCTCCTTTTAAACTGCTGAGGAATGTGGGGGTCCAGCAGAGCCAGCCCAGGCCAAGCACCACCATAAGTAGATCCTTCCTGCTTGCAGTTCTACGAACCCACCTCCAGCAATCCTGCCCTGGGCCACTTCTTGCTCTGCCCTCTGCCCGTGCTTCCAGCCTGCCTTAGCCTGCAGCATTACTCTCCAGTTTCCCAAGGAAAAGAACCTGGCTGCTAATCCTGATGCCAGTGACGACTCTTCGCCTACAGGGAGGCATATGCGATAGCTTGTCTGCTAAAAACTGAGCCAACACAGTGTGATTCAGACCTTAAGCTTTCCAAGGAAGAGAGCTATTTCTGAGTTAAGCACATCTCTTCAGCTCCCCACACAAACAATCTTTATCCAGTGCAAATGGTGCACACGACGTGTCCACCAGCACGCCGTTCTGCATTTGGTTCTGCAGCTCCGATGCGGAGCAGCAATGGCTCTCAAACACAGGGATGTTTCTGTGATAGAAAGGATGATGAGAATGTTGGGAACAGGCAAAAAGCAAACTGCCTGGGGGAGTTGGGTTAGAGATTTTCTCCAGCTTTTTTGCCAGGTCCTTCTATTGTGAATGGTGTTAGAATGTGGCAGAGTACACATGTGGCTTAAGGGCAGGCTGCACTTGAGTTAAAAAATGGCAGCAGCTGTTCCCTTATGTTCACCACTTCTACAAGACATTATTTTTGTCTCTTCAACGACAAAGAAAAATGGGGCTTCCCTTCTTGACATTACCTGAAGTATTTGGATCTGTAGTGCTAGAGAAACACCGTGTTCCTGAATAGACTACACGAATCACAATAATCTCCCTGTGACTTCTTTCCAGACGTGCGATAACACTGTATATTCTGAGGTGATGCTCAGGTACGGGAGTCAGGAACAGAAAATTACTTTCCTGGTTTCAGCTGCTTTAGTGGAGACTTTTTTTGATGTGGTTAGCTGTGTGATGTGCTGTTCAAACAAGCTGTGCATAGCTACATTTGATGAGTTTGAACTGTTATTCCTTCCTACTGCTTCTCCATGACCGAGGTCATGCAACTGCAAGGCTTTTCTGCCTTGTGTGAATTTGCCTCATCGTTCTTTGAATCATCTGAAATCCTCAATAGGATTCAGCAGCTCAGTGCTTCCTGTGCCCTCCAAGCAGGCTGTGGCTTTGCAAAGGAACTCTCACAAAAGTAAAGGTGGAAGAGAACTGTATGACTGCACACAGGTCAAAACAATTTCAGATTAGCAGATGGGAAGCAGAAGATCAGAAATTGTAATGCTAATGGCTTGCACCTCTACAGTCATCACCATGCTAATGTTCCCTTCAGTTCAGAACAGCTTTAGGACAAGTAAATCAGGAGAATAGCAAATAAGTGCTAAGTGCAACACAAAGTTTTGGGATTAAAAACAGACAAAAAACCAAGCAGGTCTTGCAAATAAATCAGTTATATTAGTAGTATTGCACTGTTAAGAACCATCTCCTACACCTAAGGGGTTCCTTAGACATTTTTAAGCCTCTTTTATTAGATCCAAACACAGAAAAAATAGAACCACTACAGGAGGGCTGCTACAGCCCATCACATCAGCTGATGCATCCGAGCTGATTCTAGTGTTATTCAGCCCTCAAGACAAGGTTAGCTGCATCCAAACCACCAATACAACACCTATGCTGACTGCCAGGCCAGGGCTCAGCCCTGTTCAGGAAAACTTTGGTAGGCACCAAAACCACAGCAGGACAAAGTCCAGAACTCAAAGCACTAAGAGAGAACCACAAACAAATGTGCTCGAGTGAAACCACCCTGCAAAGAGGAAATGCAAAGATGCAACTCTGACCTGAACACAAACCCAATTCCAACCATCAGCAACGCTGCATATCACAGGGCATGCTCTGAATAATCTGGAAAAAGATTGTTTGCTGGCTCCACTGTATGTAAAAACTGATCAGTGACCCAAGCAGACCTGGCTTTCCCATTGCTCCCATAGGCTGTGTGGGACTAGAAATCCTACAGACTGTAGTACTGTACACCACAGCATGCCACGGTGCAATGTTCAAGCTCCTTTTCTTTTTGCTGGTGCAGCACAGCAGCATGAATTTGTAGACTCAGAGCACCTGTTTTTCACTTTACTATTTCCAGCACAATTCTTAAGCTGCAAGAGTGGAACTAAAGGAACAAACCGTTCATTCAGGAATGTGACCTGAAGTTTTTTCTTCTGGTCCTAATGAAGGATAAAGTCTCCATTATGCTCTGAGCTCACAAGGGAGGTGCATGTTTGTGCTGCCCCGAATAGCAGCAGCATCTCTAAGGCTGTCTTCTAGTCATAAGCATCAAACCCACAAAGCAGTGCAGCACCTACCTGCCTGCACCCAGCCTTGGTCAGTGCTGCAGCTGCAGAAGGCACTGCACAATAATGATTAGCCTAGACTGCAAGTTAGGGCACATTTGTCCATACCTGACCCACGCAACTCCGCCGAGTAACAAAGCTGCACAACAAACAGATGCAGTTACACGCTCCCCCGAGCTGAGGAAGCTTATTTTTTTTTTTTTTTTTTGAAAGCTTAGAAGTTCACTCATTTCAATTTCCCTTACAGGTCACCACTTGCACTGTCACACCCCTCTGTCCTGCACCTGGCCTGGTCTGACTCATCTCTTGACTGAGGGTTGCCTCTCTGCCTCAGCTCTGCATGCAGAACAGGGATATTTCCTGCAGGGGAGACCAGAAATTGATGATCCAAGAATTTAATTCTGGCATTTCAAAATGAAGAGGAAAAAAAACAAACAAACAAACAAAAAAAAAAGATGCTCATTGCAGAATCCCCAGAACCTGCCCTTATATATAGGCAGTTGTGAGAAATCAGGTCTGCAGCACTGACTTGCCACGTTCCTGCAGACTACATTAAAGGTCCTCAGCTAGGGAGGAGGTTCCCTTTCATGGGGTAGATAGGGATTTCTTGCCTTTTTTTGCCTTGTCTAGAGGATATAAAGCAGCAAGGAGTCCTGAAAGGCTTAGAGAGGTTCCTCTGAAGGAAGCTATAGCACACCGCTGCTGCTGCTAAAATGCATCAGAAAAGGAAAAAAGAATAATAACATCGTACTTTCTTTGCTATTACTTCCAAAAACTCTGGAATACTTTGACAAAGCCAACTCTAACTGATGGTATTTGCTTGTCTCTGCACGTGTCCCCAGACACACACATCCAACACACCCAGCAAACGCTTGAGACAAGCACTGGTTTTGCATATATGCACGCTATGCATATCACATGGTCCTGAGCTGCTCTCTTTTTCTCCTTCCTCCTGCACGCTGCCTGCCCCAGCACGCTATTGGGTTTGGAAAGAAAAGAACACAATGTCACAGATGGATCCTTCCTGTAAGGTGTATCTGCAGCTTGGCAGCAAGGGCTGACACCTCCCAGCTGCATGCAGGGAAAGGGAGCTTGGTGAGGCCCAGGGAGATCTGCAGGAGGTTCAGCATCATCTTAATCACACCCAAAAGGAAATTTGTTTTTGATCAAACTATAAATAATGAGTGAGCCATTGGTCTTTAACTGCTGCATGCTGTTGCTGGAAGTTTTGGCTGCTATGGGAGGTGCAGAGGGGAAGGGGTCAGAGGCACTCACCATCTTCCTCTGCCTCACATCTCCAGCGATGCTCTCACTTAGAGCAGTGCAAACATAACTGACATTCCCAGCAACTTTTAAAAACCTTACTACACCTTTCTTCCTCCTGTTAAGGCATGTGTTCAATATTGAAAAAAAAAAAAAAAAAACAAAAAAACAAAACCAGCCACAAAGGGACCCTCGCTTTGAGCCTGTGTCCACAGGATGCTGCAGTGGTCCTTGCAGGGCCAACCTCTGGCAGCAGTACCTTGCAGCCCAGCTTCTCACTAGTAAACCTTTATGCTGATAATATAGGATGCCTCATAAATAACTGTGCCAGCAAGATGGACACTGGGGAGGGAACCTGCTTTCCACTTTTCACTCACCCTGCTGCCCCAGTTAATGGATTTAGAAACTACAGTAAATATCCAGACTGTAATCTAGTACAGCTCCTTCCCCTTCCTCCACCCCCCCCTTTCTTGGAAGGACATGTTTCTTTCCTTGAGCTTTCCTCCGCTATCTGTGGGTGTGCATTAGAAAATGTAGATACTGAAGCAGATTCTTGGTGTGGTTACAAAACTGATGCTAAGAGTTGCCAAAACCCGGGGGTATCAGTAAGTAAAACTCACAACTCCGCTTCTGCTGACCTCGATTCCACCTCAAACCAGCTTCTGTGTCAGCACAGGTTAGAGACAGCGGCCGGGGTCTGACAGTTGGCAAATTGCACGTGTGTAGTGGTTGGCAGGCCTGCAGCCAGCCATCTCTTCCCACACGTTTGCTGCAGGGTAACCACCACGGCTGCAGCACAGCACTGTTCGCACCCCTTCCATTCCCAATAGCCGTCAGCCGCTCATTTTCACGCTCTCCCACCTCCCCAGCAACTTTTGTTGAACCATTTACAGTTATATTTTCAAACGCTCCCTTTTTAGGTTTCATTCTGGCCCACAACTCAAAGCCATTTCCACGTAATTCGTTCTCATTAAAAGTTCCTTTTTGCTGACAGGATTTCAGTCTCCTCACGCAGCCCTGCCCTGTCTGCTCTATAAGAGCACCCTATTTACAAACCACGTGAGAGCTGACCCATCGTGACAGTCACATTTCCCTCCCCTGTCACCAAGGGCACCCAACTGCTGTGTGTCCACCTGTCCTGTGTTGACACCGAGATCAGTCAGTGATGGAAAGCCACAACGCTGCCCCAGGGCAGGGGATACAGACTGACTGTGTCTGAATGGGATGGTAGATTGCTTCTGGATGGCACAAACTTCTTTTTCCCCCCCTCCTCACCTCCAAAATCAGCACCACTGAAAACAGATGTTTTTCACCACCTGCTGCTAAGAGCTTTACTACTCTACCTGGCGAGCAAAGGAAACAACAGTCCCTGCTGAGCATTGGGCTTCTACAGCACACGTCTCATTTCTCCTACAGGAGCCTCAGCTGTCCATGAGATGCTCAAAATCACATCAATAAAATAACTAACCCGACAGTCACCGTCTCGCTTTCTAATAACATCAAATAAATTAATTTTTCTCCAGGTACGGTGGAGATGAAGGACTTTCCCCTCTCAGCCTGCAGCCACACGCAAGATCTGTCTTCCTCTGGAAGCTGGTTTCACATGGTGGCTTAGATTTTCCCACTTTGTATCTAGCACCATTTGAAATCAGTGTTCTAGGAGCAAGAATTACAGCGTGGGAGAAGATCAAGCAGCTGCTAACTTCACTGACAGCCTATCCTCCTTAAACCAGCACTTTCCCCCATCATTTCTTTTTCTGCCAGCCATCCGTTCTGTAATGCCATCTGATTTCTAGACACTATACAATCACTGTATGCACCCACTGGAAGTTAGGGGCACAACAGGAAAATCATCCTTCCAATGTATTGCTACTTAATAAACAATGGCTGCCGAGTTCGAGTTGTTCAGAGTAAAATCATCCAAAAGTTGCATGGAAACCAGCAATGTGCTTCTTACACCCTGACAGGCAAAGAGTACATTTCTCCTCCTACCCAGTCACTAAGAAGCTAGCATTTAATTTACTAACTTGGAGCAAATGTACTTTATCTGTGTGCTCTGGGATCTTCTCATTGTAGCATTACCATTCTGTAGCTTCCAAGGACTTGTTCTGCAAACACAGAAGCTCCCCCTGACAGTTTGATCTCAACAGTCAACAAACCCACACGTGCCTTCAATAACAGTGATGAAATCACTCTGATGCACACAGAATCCACTCCTTTTCCTAAAATTACTTTCTTTGGAGCTTATTGCTGCTCCCTTCCAGTAATGTTTTGCTAGACATTTATTTTTCTGCATCCAAACCACAAAAATGAAGCCAAACTAAACTACTTTTGCCTGATCTCGCTGCTGTCAAACACGTTTACATACACAGAAAGGGCGATTGCTGAGGATGAAGCACTCAATAGAGCACTGAATAGTCTTCTTTAAAGAATGCATAGCTGTCATCTGCAAGAGGATCTTCTCTGAGCCAGAAAAATGTCTCTTACACAGGCTGACCGATTTCTCTTGGTGTTCAGAGTCTCAGTTTCTGTCTAGCACCATTTGAAATCGGTTATGATGTAGGGGGAAAAGCAACAATAATGGAAAACTTCATTCCCCCCAGCCCCAGAGTCCCTATAAACAAACACCAGCAGAAGCACGACCTTGCTTCACAAACATCCTGCGTGCTCTCCTGTTCTCTGAGCCGAAGTTACACCTCTGACCGACCATCCTGCAGCACAGGAGGACACTCAGCACCATGGGACGCTTAAGGGGAAAGCGGAGCATCTGCTCTGACACCCAGCTGAGGTCCCTCACCTCGAGCAAGTCAGGACTCACGCACAGCAGCACAGCCAGCCTCCCTCCTGCCCGCTGTATCCCATTTGTTTGCCTTAAAACTGTTATTTACTCACAGCTTCTTCTTTCAAATAAAATTGTGTGCTGCTTGGGATCAGGCTCTGTCTCAGGTAGACAGATGACGTGGTTCCCTGCTAGACAACATCCAATCTCTTTGAGTCTCATTTCAGTCCCAGCTCCCTTTGCACATCACACACCCTACGCTCAGCAGTCAGCACTAATGCTGATTTTGGTAATGTGGACAACTACCAACCACTGACACACCAGCAGATGGCAACAACACGATGCTTTCATCACAGCCAGCCTCTCTGCTAGCATCACGTTCAAGTGCTCCAGTCTATAGCAGATAATAACAATCATGAATTACAAAATAAAGCACACTAGCTACTTTTCTAGCCCTTCCTCTGACAGGTTGCACCTTGAGGCAGCTGACTACACATTTCTGTGCAGAAACAAGAGTACGCTTGGATCACAAACCTCACACCTGACTTTTCATGTACCCAACTCACGTTCTCCTCTAGGAAAACAGAACACAGCTGTCCGCCACACAAGAAATGAAAGACAAACACTTACTGCCACATAATATCTTTATTTATAATAATACAAGCCACCACTCATCTTTACATTCATAAAAATATAAAAATAAAGCCAAATTTATACAGTCATTTCACTCAAGCTTTCGGTCTATTTCAGTATATTGCGAGATATTGGAAATGCCACACACAAGCCAGCTAATGAGCAACACTCAATTCTCAGTACATTATATTTTCACAGTATTTACAAGCAATTGGCAAACTAAGCATCAGCTATTGGAGAGGCTGTGAACAGCAAGCACTTCTGCACAGCCAGAACCCCTTCTTCAGGACTGGAGGCCATTAGGAGCGCTCAAAAACAACCGCTGGGAACATCCCAACGAAACCCCAACTAATTCTGTGCTGTTGAAACAACCCGTTCCCAATAGCTGTGCCAATCCAGCCCAGTCAATGCCTCAGCCACCTGATGCCAGGTGACTTGCTCCTTCTGGGAAAACGGGCGCATAGAAGCTGCCTGCATGTTGGCAGCAAACCCACAAAGCCAAGACCCGTCCTCGCTCAGCTCAGCTAAACTCATATGGAAGCATTTCATTCTGAAAAGCAACATAACTGTCTCTGAAACGGACATCAAGATTCAAAGTAAAAATCATAATAACATCAGACATCCCAAGGATGGGCACACAGATTCTCAGCAGGTTTTGGTTGATTTCCTTCTGCCAACAGGCCAATAAATACAAACGCAGGAGATACCCCTGCTAGGGAAACCTTCACTTCCCCAGTGCAACAAGACCACTACAGCTCCCTTGGGATTATACCAAAGGTCTTTTTTTCCTTCCTGAAGGCATTATAAAAGCCAAAACTCTGATTCAAAGGCACATTTTAATTCATCAGATATACAGAATCAACTTTGGCAAACAAGAAAGCAGCAGATACAAGATCTAAATTGCAACTATTTCAAACAGACGCAGCCTCACATTGCACCAACCTCTTTAAGAAGAACAAAGACTTGAAACATTTCAGAACATTAGAGATGACATTTACACCACCTCAACTGCAAAAGCGATTGAGAAATTGAGTGCTAACATTGGACCATCTTCTGTAAGTGCTCCGGCCGACAGACAGCGATGTGTGCTGCAGGAAGAGCCTCTAAGTCCATTTTAGATACACAGAGGAGACAGTGAATGACCCAGAGCAAAACAGCAGACAATTCTGATCTTTTTTTTTATCCTCCTATTCCCTATTACAGTTAACCAATAGCATAAAGCACAGGGTGAGGTATGTTAGGTTTCCGTAGGCGAATAAGCGCGCTCATTTTCGTTTCTGATAGGCACATCCAACTGCAAATTCCCTCCCACCCTCAGAAAGAGTCATTCATGCTTTACAGCTCGTGTATTTGGCAGTATGTGGAGTGCTGTCACTCTTCCTACAAACAGAAAAATAAGTCAAATCAGGGATTTCACATTTAAATAGCTCTTACATTTATTCTGGAAGCACATCCTCAGATGTAGCGTTGAATCATCAGGTGAAATCATGGAACTAACTCACTTGTCTGCTTCCTCCTAAGCAACCAATACACTTAGTGAGATTTTGGCTCCAGTTTCAGGCTCTGGAGCGCAAAGAACGACCCAAGGATTAGGAGAGGATTTGATCCAAGTGGACCATTTCAAGCGATGAAGAAACCATGCCAGAATATTATCAGCAGCTGAGCACAGACAGAGCAGTTACAGGATTCCTACCTCACTTGGAGGCCACACTGTGAGCAACCCATGTGTTTTATATGCACTCTGATGGTTAGTATGTATTTTACAGCCAGAAGCCAAGCATTAGTGAAAATTTGATTCTGTAGCTCACTGTGGAAAGTGTGCAGTACTTAAACCCAAGAGGGTAATAAATTTATGATCACAGCCATGACCACTGAAACCCACATCCATTTTCAAACTCTTGAATAGCACAGCTTTTCCTTCACAGCAACCTAACAAGCAAACCAAAGCCAACAAACATCTGCACCGTTACTTGAGGTCTCCGAGGAGTTTTAGATGCTGTACAAAAGCCTTGGGAGCTTTATCAGAACATTATTTCCCTTATTTCCAATCCCCCCTTTTGCTCACGACAGGGAGAATTCCCAACTCCTCTCCCCACAAGTAAGGCCAACCAACCCAGAAAACTGATGCCAGAAAACTAATTCTCAATTAGGAGCACCTTATTTCAGAGACAAAGCTGCTATTCATTAACACATACTTACGGAATCAACGTAAGCTTAATTCCATATATGCCTTCTCAAGCTTATCAAAAATACTCAGAAGTCACTCGTTATTTAATAACTAAATAAAATACAGGACTGTTCCTTTGAAAAGGATTCAAGTCAGAATAAGAAACCTAACATTTCAGTCATTACCTTTACAGAATTTGTGCCATGGGGAAAAGCAACACAGATACAAGTTTGCAAAAACATTTCTTGGGCAAATTCAAACCACTAAGAACAGTAACAACAAAATACTGACGAGGAAGAGTCAAGTCGATCTCTTCTGTCTTACATCTGTCCTGCAGCAGCACGGCTCAAAGAGCCAGATTTTGGAAAGAGCTCATTGCAGAAAGGACACATAGTTTGGTTTCCTCTGAAGGGAGGAAATGAATGAATGCTTCTTACTGCTTTTTCTATAGGAAACTGAGGTTCACTGCATTCCATACTTCTAAAATTCAGGGTAAACCATAAAGAAAAGACACTTAAGCTTAACGCAAATAAGCTTAATGCAAATGCCCAAATGAAGTGGGAAGGGTATACCTTTTCAAGATTCAATTAATTCATTTGTGCAGTTCTTCCATCTCAGCTGGTGTATTTGCTTTTAAAATACATGTTTTCTTGCAACTCTCATCAACTGTATATGAGCTGAACAGTAAAAGGGGAAAAAGGTCTAATTGAATATCCTATGAAACCAACAGACTGAACACAGAAGCAGCAAAGGGCAAGACACAGCTTTTGCTGTATGCTGAAGACAAACACAGCCAAGGTACAATATGAGATACTGGAAGCAGAGTGGTTCAGAAAGGCTCAGCTGTTTCAGGAATCCAGAAAACGAGTGAGCTCTGGGCCCTAGCAGAAGGAGATTAGATTGGGCTTTCAGACAAGAATGGGATTTAACAGTCAGGCGCTCACAGCAATGAAGCTGAAGGAAAGCACAGGGCACAGTGAGATGGCATGGGATTTTCAGGAATACAGCATTATTTTGTTCTGCTTTTTGATGCATTTCCTTTAGATCCCTTCTTCTTTTTCCTACACTGAGCAGTTTCCTCACAGAAGTGCAGGAAGTGCTGCCATAGTAGTACTAGACTGCATCAGGGTTATCCAGGTCGCAAATCATCCCAGCGCTGGACGAAAAGCAATTAATCAAAAGCACTGCATTACTTTGCAGCACAGCCCCAGCCACTGGGTCACTGAAAAGATGCCATGCTCCCCATGGGGAGGATAATTCCACTAAAACATCACTGGGTGTGAGCTAGCTTCAGGCTCATCCCAAGTAGCACCACATGTACTTCACTACAAATATGAACTACAGGAGTATTTCCTCTGGTTAGCCTGACTGAAAGCATCCCTTTGTCTCACAAACCCCACATTTATTCAGTTTTTTTAATTAAATCTACTGAAATTTAAGTGAGCTTTGGTAAGGTGTATATTGTAACACTGCTCCACCTGACCTGCCCTAAGCTTTCAGTAGTTTGTCTGTTACAAAGTGCTTCTCCAAGAAAACAGTATTTTCTTCTGAGAAGGTTAAAAACAACAACAAGACATCACTACAAGAAGCAATGCACAAAGCATTTAATCCTCCTGCCAATTCCTTACCAAAAAAAAGCATATATAACCAGTTACTCTGAAAAGAAAGTTCAAAATGCAACGCATGCTTCATAAAGAAACAAAATCCACTATTTGTGCACCCAATCTCATACAGTCTGTAATGTAAAGATAACAAACACTGCTACTGCAAACGACAGAACTGAAGTCTACCTACACATCATACATTCTAGTAGCAATGCCTGCTATTTGTTCAAAGACTACAGGACCATTTAGGTCAACATAACTACAAGGAGAAGGCTCAATTAAGTCCACAGTGTTTTATCCAAGCTGTTTCTAGACCAAAACACAGCAGTAGTCTCGTTTCCCTTCACTACTATTGCTACATTTCATGCAGAAGCAAGGAAGCTCACTTGCAAGGCTTCCAGATCACCTAAACCACTCTGGCTTTTAAAGCCTAAGGAGATTTTCCTTAGTGATACCAGGTGCTTATCCAGGCAAAAAAAACCAAAATAAAATAAAGCAGGTGAAGCCAAAATAAACCAATAGTACCACTGGTTTAAGATACAAAATGGCAGGTTTTGGAGCAGATGTGAACAATGCTAAGTGTACTTTTCTTAAAGACAAGCCCAAGGACGGTGCTTCTCCATCCTTTAAAATGGCAGGAATGATAGTTAGCATCTTATTTAAGTAACAGATAAGGAAAAAGTCAAATATGCTGTTAGGTACTTCAGCTGCTAAGCTCACATACAGACATCACACAATTGAAAAAAGAAGAGGCAGATAAAGCTTAAGCAACTACATATGTTAGCAGTGCTTTTGCTGTCACACAGAAATTGCCAGTAAAAAAGGCTTACTTACCCTTCCTGTGAAATGAATTTCTTAAAGATCCAGAAGGCTGCCAGAAACACCAGAACTGCCACGATCACTTGAGGAAGAATTAAAAAGAAGCCTTAGAGTGATAGTAAACAGCCCATAAGAAACATTTCCTCAAAAATTAATGCTGTCTACACCCAGAATCCTACACAGCATCCTCCTCTTCCAATGCTCAAAAATTCACATGGTTTAATTCCCAATTATATATTTGATACTCAAAACTCTTCAGTAGAGTTCAGCTCAAGAACAGGCATCACCACGATGGCAAAACACCACCAGCTCAGGACTATCACTGCAGCTCACGACACTCATTGCTTTTTTGGAATGAACTTATAAAGAAGTGGTGGTAGAAAGCTTGATTTTAGGAGCAGACAAGCATTTTCAAAGCAAGCAGAACTGCAGACACAGTTCCTATTAGTCCCAGGTGATGACCACAATATCAATTGCACATAAAAAACAAACACCACGTCGTACATCATTCAGGAATGATATGATACTTACCACAGATGATGGCAATGATATAAGCACCTAAAAACAGAGTAGATGAGTATTATGAGGAATGCATGCTTCTTAACCAAAAGCACCATATAAGTACTCAAGAGGGTGTCTCAAATGAATCAAACACTTGTCAAGATGATCCTTGCAGCAGGTCAGCTTTGCACAGCAATTTTTTTTAAGTATGCCAATTATTAAAAGCATGTTTACCCAAATCTATCTTTCTTACACCAAAATAAAGATAGAAGTTTGCAATAAAGGACTTCTGAATATAAAAGCACATCCCCAAGTAGTAAATATTCTATTGGAAATGCTTGCAGTTTATACTTACTTAACTTGCAGATTGGCACTTCTGGACTCCATCTGCCTTCTCCAATATACTCAATACGAGCTGCACCATGCAATGTGTAGCCTGCATAACATTCAATTGTAACTGAATCCCCTATGGAATACACAGATTTTTTCCCTTCAATTATTCTACCATGGCTGATGACTGGAGAGGAATCAGAAGGTTCAGGACCACCTAGAAAGGAAATATTTTGGAAGTGAGGAAAAAAAAAAAAAAAGAAGTCTGAGAACAGAGCTGATACATGGCACAGATTAAAGAAGTTGCCATCAAGAAGTCCCTACATTCGTGTAAATATCAGAAGCTCAGTTCATCATTAAGACATTACATGCAAAGGCTTCCTGCTGCCCAGAGGCAGCAAAAATGTATGCTGATGGACATGCTGCAGATGCATGAGCAGAAACACACACCCCAGCTTCACTGGGATAGAGTTGCATCAAAGTAATGATGAAATCTTTCTGTTCATATTACCAGTGATCACATCATGCAAAGGAAAAAAAAAAAAGATGAAGTCTGTCACCTAGAAAGGCAGAATGTTCAGAAAGACCTGTTGTGGGAGTGCTTTCAGATCAGCTCTCGAGTTGTGTTCATTTCCACACACAAAACTAAGACTAAAGGAGGACTCCAGCTTGGCACAAAACTGCACAGTTCCTCAAATCCCAACCCATGGCACTCACAGCCTGTTAACATAACCTGTGACCAGCTGGGCATGCTGACAGGCCTCTGACCTTCAGGGCTCAAGCACTACATCAGACATTTCCAACCTGTCACTTGATTTTCCTAATTATGAATTCTACTCACATGCACAGTTTGGTTCAGAACTCCACGTGTTTTGTCCTTGGCACATTACTGTGACCTCTGTACCACCATCAGGAAAAGCACAGTGAGGAATGCACCTTATCTGAACAGACTCTCCTCTTAAGTACACAGATTTTGGTGGAACCACTTCTCCATGGGAGATCTTTGGGGCACCACACGAATCTTCACTAACTAAAACATAAATTTAAAAGCAAATGCAGCAATAAGAAGTTTTAAATGTTTTATAATTCATTAGCTCTCTAAGCACACGCTGCTTTTGTATAATACAGTGCTATTAGTGTACCTGAATTGTTAGAGCTTCCCCTCTACCTTTACCATAATTTTAAGTGTAAATGTTTTCTATGGAAGATTTAAAAGCAGCATCACTCCATGAGTGTAGCATGATGGTACAGCACCTGAGATGTCTGTAATCTTTGGTTTATTGTTTTTCATACGAATCATTCTCGGGTGCCTTATAGACTCATCCATTATGAAGCACTCAAGCACATCTTTTGTAGAAGTAGCTCTCATTCTTGAGAGAATATCATTAGAACACATACATGAAATTCTGACTGTATTCTGCAGCCACGTTCCCTGCCCCTCCAGCACAGTGGGAGGAGGAAGACTGCAGAAAATGCTCTTCAACGGCCCTTGTGAATTAGGCCTAATAACAATTTGCTTGGTCAAAAACCTACAAGCATTCTGATGCCTGGAAAGCTAGAGCTGAAGAGCTAGACACGAGCACAGATCCAGACACATCATGATTCTGAGTACACAGGAAGGACCCTACTGATCTCTCTGTTATGCACAACCCTTGTACATTCTATCAAGACTCCAAAATGCACATCTATCATCCTCATTTCTTCATGATATCACTTGAGCAAAGGATGCCATTACAGTGCAGTAACACCACACTACGCCCGTGCCACAGCCTCTATGTCTAAAATTCAACTCATTCTCATCCAAACACTGCTAGGAGTGAAGTCACACGAACACCTGGAACAGCTGTCATGATGAGGCTCAATGTCAACTTCTTTAGCTTCTGACTTTCAGCTACAGTGAGATTGCTTTAAATTATAGCTAAGATTTAACAACACCCTCAACATACAAGAAAAGTTGGATTCCTATATAAAAACTTACTTTTTTTACAAGTTGGTATTGATGGATACCAGGTGCTATTTTCTTGACAAGTAATTACATCGTTCCCAAACAAGACATAGTCTGGATCACATTCAAACATAACTGTGCTCCCATAGGTATAGTGAGATGCAAACCCAGATAATTTTCTTCCATTTTCTACATCTGGGTTTTCACAGATGACCACTGAAATACATAAGAGGAAGAGCAGCTTTGAAACATTTGTTAACAGTATCTTCACAGCAGTCGCAGCACTTTTAATACTTGTAACAAAGTTTCTTAATTCCTCTAACTGTTTGGACTGGGTTGCCCAAGAAGCCTGCTCTCTCCAATCCCAGATTGTCTATGATTTAAGCCATTGACTTGCAACAGTACACAGTCAACTAAAAGCACGTCCCACTTCCAACCCACCTAATTCTTCCTACACAGCAGCAGAATTTCAGACAACTCAATTATTTTGGTTAGCATTCAAGTGACAAGATGAAAGCATCCGGTTTTCTCCCTGCAAACACAAAACAACACCACATGCTTGCTAAACTTTACTCTTATTTCTGCACTAGCACGGTGGTTGTTCACACATGCTTTTATTAGGTACTCCAGCTCAGCTCCTTCACTTTGTCCTTGCCACTTCTACCAACTGCGTGCTCCTATTTTACTTTTTAAGTATTAAGTTCTAAGCCAGCCTCTATATCATACTCCAATATCCACAATGCAGCTGATCTGAGGTGCACTGCGATTTTATCAATTTACACCAGCAGAAGACAAAGTTCCTCCTCCCCTGTAGGGAAAACCATCCATCCCCTCAGCTCCCCAGTTCCAAAAGAGGCAGATACTGAAATCTGAGTCCTATAAGAGATATTTATATTTGAGAAACAAACAACCTTTACATTGTGGAGGTGGTCCACTCCAAACACCATTTGAGTTCTCATCAACTGTGCAGAAAATAGAAGGTGAACCAACCAGCGAGAAGGGATCTTCTCCTTTCTGGACATCATTACAGCTATAGGTTACTGCTGTTTGATAAACATAGTTGTCTGCTTCAGTGTAGTGCCCGTTGGCTATACTTGGAGGAGGAGCACAAGGAACCTCTAGAATGAAATCATAAAAGTTAGCTAAGAGAATTTTGCTCCCAGAAGTAAAAAGCTTTGATTTTCAAGTCATTGCACTTAAAAATCCAACACAGAGCTGTAACTTGTCTTAGCTCTACCTGAGAAAGACCTGTGGTCATTTGTAACAAGAATAGGTAGACTTTAATAGCTATTAACTTACTACAACAGTAACTGACACTTTTCAGTGCCGATTCCTCAGGCACATCCCCAGTAGCTCAAGAAAAAAAATTTAGGTGTTGCCCCATTTTACCATCATTTCTTTCACCAGTGAATGTACAGCACACAACTATATGATAAAATAAACTACCACTGCCTGAGTACAAAGCATAAATACAGCAGTACTTTACTTACTGTCACAGACAGGAAGTTCTCCATTCCAGTCAACACCTTTATCTTTAATTACACAGGAAATTTGACTATTTCCATATAACCTGTACCTAGACAGATGAAAACATTCAAAGAGGTGAAACTTCATAACATTCATTTCTCCAGGAAGCAGCTAGAAATCTTGTTTACATAATTCTGCTCTGTGACTATGTAGACACGACACACCATGCTTCTCTCATGGTGAGAATGTTATCTTCAGAGCTATTTTGTTAATAGACTCAACTTTGAGAATGAGAGAAGCAAATGAGACATCACTAAAGAAACAGACAGAACCTCTCCCTTTACAGACACACACCTAATACCATCAAGTCACCAATGTTAAAGAAAACCTGAAGAGAAAGAAAAAAAAATATCCTGTGAGGGGTTTTAATGCTTCTGAGTTGATGTGCTACACACAGACAAACAGGCTGCTACACAATGTAATAATGAAGTGCAGTGAATATACACTTAATTCCTGTGCCACAGGGACAGTAAAAAAAGAAATTGTTAGAGGTAACAGACAAAGTTTTGCTAAGCACTTTATTATATACACCTAATTTGATGCAAGTAAAACCAGGGAATCAAAGCCAATTTTGCTGTGATTTGTCCTGCTATAACTCAAGAACCTCAGTTTGGGTTTGGTTCAAATCAGGTCTAAATAGGAAAAAAAAAAAAAAAAAAAACAAAACACCAAAAAACCAACACTTACCCTTTTTCACAAGAAAAAGTAGCTGCTGAACCAAATGTAAGATCTGTCACATTAACAAAGCCATATTCTAATTCTCCAGGATGAATACATCTTTTTGCTGGGGAAAGGGAAGAAAAAAAAAAAAAAAAAAAAAGAACAAGCCTATATCTTTGTAGCTACATACAAAGACACACTGCCCTTAAAGTCACTAGAACTTTTCAAGCTTCATTTTAAAATTATGCAGAAAATTAATCTCACTCAAAACCAACTGAAATTGTTAAACAACAAAGGAAAAACAAATTAAAATTAAAAAAAAGCAAGAGGTCTGTAATGCTATAATGAGATGGTAAGAGCAGAGTGGCAAAACCTCTGGCTACAACAAATGAGAACGAGTCCAAAACAGCAGCCATGAATACAGAAATGAAGAAGAGCTGCTTACCTTTGGAAAGCCTCAGGCAGGCAGGCAGGCAGGCAGGCAGGGATCTCCAGCATGGCATCTCCAGGGATGCCCTCACCCCCACTACCAACCCCTAAATGAGGTTTGGGAGGAGTTGGATCCTGACTCCACCTCTTCCACTCACTCAGATGCACTGCATGCACCTGAGCTCCCCTGGGCTGGCCCTGCCTTCCCACCAGGTGCTCAATCACTGCTTCAGGCCATAACTTAACATTTCCACTACAAGGCCACGCACACACATTACCTGTACAGAACGTCTCTATTTGTGACCACGTCAAGTTTTCGCCACACGTTCGATTAACAGGCATCCCAGGGATCCTCATATAGCCAGGGCGACAGGTGTACGTCACAGTGGTTCCAACAGGAAAGCTGCTCATTGTGCTGAAGTCCTCCGTGAGCTCTGCATACTGAACGCTGTCTGGAAGCGTGCAGGATTCTGCAGGAGCGTGGGGAAGGAAGGAAACAATATTTATCAGCACGAGGAGATACAAGCGGAGGCAAAGCAAGGGCAGTGCAGTGGGTTTGAAGGATGTTAATGCAAACAAATCAAAGGAGAGACCTTAAAGCCCACGGGGTGCCCAACCAGACCGCGCTGCCCAGAGCCCCATGCAGTCTGGACACCTGCACAAAGTAATGAAGTTCTTAAAAGCCAGCACTGTTTTTACAGTCCTTAAGGTTTTGGGTTTCCAGTTCCCACCCTGATCACACCCAGCGCCCACTCCACACCGGTGCAGGTTCATTGCTGCTCTGCTCAGTTGCTCTTTAGCGTTCTACCTCAAAAACACACCAATTTCTAGTTCCTAATTTTTTCTGTTTTTGATTAAGTTTATGACACAATCCGCGCCGAGTACCGTTCCTCTTCACCTTCCAGCAGCAAAAGCAAACAACGAACACAAAGGAGCTCCTCCCCTCGCGCAAAATAACACCACACACACCAAAAAAAAGCCCCCAAACCCGTAATATAGCAGCCAACTTTCGTCCTCCCAGCGCCACAACGACCCAACCCCGCGCTGCGGCCGCTCCCTTTGTCTCCTCGATCCCCACAGGCCGCCCGCTCTCCTCCCGCCGCCGCTGCAGCTCCCCGCCCCCACCGGGCACGCGAAGCCCCCTCACCTTCCCCCACCCCACAAATCACCGCTCCCGTCGCTCACCCTGCGCCCGAGCCGCGCAGAGCCCCGCCAACAACACCGCGATCCCGAGCGCGCCCGCCACCATGCCTGCGACTCCGCGTCCCTCTCTCGGGCGACGGCGCTCCGAGCGCTGCGCATGCGCGCTGCGCATCCCCCCGCTCGGTGAAACGGAGGCCGCCATTTTGCGCCCGGCCCCCTCGTTAGGGCGGAGCGGCCACCGGGCTGAGGGCAGCGCGTGAGAACGGCGGCTGCGAGCCGGTGGAGCGGGCTTTTTGTTAGGCAGGGCCCGCCCAGCCTCCTTCCGGCTGACGGAACGGCTTCAAAGCCCGGTCTGTGGTGCAGCCCAGGCGAACAAAGACTGATTGAAAAAAAAAAAAATAAATAAATAAAAATATCAAACGGCTGCGTGGGGGCTTTTGTGCTTTCCTCAGAAAGACGGGCTGCTCGCGTTGCGCTGTTAAAGTAATAACGCGGAGCTGTCGAGGTGGGCGCAAAAAGAGACACAGAGCTGCCGTCCTGCCTTCAGGCTTTATTACAGCAGCGCTGCGGTTCTCCCTCAGCTCAGGGTTTGCAGACAGGAGCAGGTGCAGTGCGGGACGTGCTCTGATGGGCTTCTGTACAGCAGGAGCTTCGTTCGGCCCTTACAGTGCTTTAATGAATGGAGCAGGAGGAGCATGAAGGTTGATTTGGGTTGAAGTGCTTTCTTGGTTCAGTCCCAACATGGGGGAACGCCTCGAATGCCGGTTATGGGCAGCACCGGGCTCAGCCTGGGGAGAAAGCAATTAACAATGCGAAAATTAGCTTTCCTCAAGCTTTCCTACCAGTGTTTATGATATCATTGCTTAGGAAGGGAGGAGGGCCTGCTCTCTTGGGTAATGCTTTTTTTGTTTTTCAAAGAGGAAATGATTGCTAAGCTGCCTTTGCTGGAGAACGAAAGATGACAGCTGAGGTTGTGCGGTCTTGTACCAGAAGTTTGGGTGGAAAGAGTTTTCAGCTGGAAGGATTATAGTGGGACAACTCAAATTCCTGGCTGTAGCAGATATTTCGTGTTAATCCATACCTGCCATGCAAGATGTAAACATTTCTGTTCTGCCATCTAATCCAGAGAGGTTTTGTGGTTGTCGTTTTCATACGTGCGGTAGAAGCTGCATGAAAAAGCACAGTGAACTATGTCAGTTCATAATGAACGCTCAGATTTCCCCTTAGGAAGAATCTTGGAAGTGAAGCAAAACACAACCACACAATTGACTCCAAGTTGATGCACTCAGTACAGCTGGCAACTTAAAGCTCAAAATACCCAACTGAAAGACCTAGCCTCCTCATTCTGGGGTTTTGACTGTATAGAAGTCATAACTGGGCAAAGAAAAACGTGAATGGATACCCAACAGGATGTCTCACCCTTCCTTCTGCTTAGAGATAATTTTCCAGCCGATGGTCACACCCAGGAGAAGCAGAACGACTGCAGCTGCAATTCCTGAAAGGAAAGAGAGCATATTATTTGCACTGTGTGTTTTAAAACCCATCGGCACGAGATAATAAGCATATCTTCGAGGAAGAAGAGGAAAATAGTGCATCTGAGGCTATGAAGCCAAAGATCTGGCCACAGAAATTCTTCTGAGCTGCTTACCTAGCCCTACTGAACCAGACCTGGGTGAAGCTGAAAGAAGAGAAAAGCAATAATCAGTAAACAGTTCTAAAATAAAATACGGTGTTCCTCAACGGTTTTTAGTCACTTCATTGATAAAGCTTTTACTGCTTAGGCTGACAATGCAGAATTTTAAAAAGATGTACCATTATTTATATGTATATGTATTTAATAGAAAGTCACTTACATGTTTGAAAGGGAAATGGACAGCAATGATAGCGTTACCAGGAAAACAGAAGCCCTGAACTGCAGAAAGACTGTGGAAAATAGTGTCTAAACTAACCTGATAAAAATAGCTATTTTTGTTTGTTATTTTCTACTGCCATGGTAAAATCAGCTTTAAACAGACCTAAGAGGCCTTGGGAGCACGTCATACAGTTTGCAGACAAGAATGAACCTCTGCACTTGCATTTTTCTCTTTGTTCTTTGCTTGATTTACGTTTCACTTACTGAGTTTACAGGCTGGCACAGGAGGGTCCCAGCTGAAGTCCTCCTGGCACTGAATCTGACTGAGGCCTTCCAATGTGTACCCATCATCACATTCAAGAGTGATGTTAGTCCCAATTCTGTACGTTCTTCCAGATGTGGTTTTCTTAACACCTTGAACTTCTGGGAATACACAACTGATCTCTGAAATTAGAAGTAACAAAAAAGGAACGTTAAGTGTGAGGGAATGTAAGATATGGAAAGTAGAAGCGTGGGTTATTTAAGGCATTGTTCTTGAGTTCTTTTTGAATAATTCCCAAATGTGATTCGTTTCTTTGTGGCTACAAAAGGAGCTTTGTGTCTTATGCCACCATGTAGGGGTTTATATGAGTTAGCTTCTTCCCACTGGTTACCCCCATGAGAACAGTTGTAGCCTGGAAGGAGCACTGCCAGAGAAAGAGATTTTCTGTTGCTGGGCTAGCAAGACATTTGAGAAGAGTGGTGTATCAGGTCTGTTTGATCACCTTTTACAGTTCAAGCCCCAGGATTCTAGAGGAGAAAATTGTCTGTGGAGACCAGAGTAAGTAACACCAGCATGTAAATTCTGACCGTCATATCATGACTTATTTATTTTTACAACCACACATAATAGTTTCTAAGGACAACAAAAGAACATGAGAATGTTGAATAACAGGGAGAATTCTTTTGTGACTCTGTTTCTTTTAAATAGCTGCTGGCTTATTTATGTAAGTATTTGGTGTGTTATTTCCTCGTATTGTTATCCAGGTGCATTTCTATTGAGTCACCGATGTTGTACAGTTCCACCAAGGAAATGCCCTGTGAATTCATTCTGCTGAACACCCAGTTTTCCATGCAGGAACACCCACACTAGAAATCCTGCTGCATTTGTGAAAGGGCCATGAGTCACGTTTGCCTGATGACTGAAATTGACCGTGTGCTACGCAGAAGTGCCAAGTCACAGAAGTAGAGACACTTCCCATGAAAGGAGTAGTAAGACTCACTTGTAAACTACAGGTATTCCGTCAGAGAAAAGTCATCAGATGTAATCACTTCCTGTTTCCTGCTAGTGATAACAGGGAGTGGAAAGGGAAAGAGAGAATGTTTCTACTCCTCAAGGAGAAAAAGCTTTTAAGGGAGAAATGTTAATATGCAGCAAATTCACACCAACAAAGGCAGAGATGCAGAACACGTGGGAATTAAAATTGGCCTTCCCGAATTTCCTCCACTGTACTCATATCCTTCTACCTGGTATCATAAAGTAGATCCCATCTTACTTCTTTATCAGGATTTTATACTCTTCCAGTTATATACAAATAAAGGCCAATTAGTAATTGACATCACTAGCTGTGATGTGGAAATGGTTCCCAAGGCAAATAAATGGGTGGAATTCAATGTTAGCAGCAGCAGAATGTTTTACTGCTTAGATTTTGGCCCACATATCTCACACACGCACACCTTTGCATTGAGGAGGAGGATGGCTCCAGGTTCCTGACGCTGTGCAGGTGATGAAAGCATCCCCACTGAGTGAATAGCCAGAATCACAGCTGTAGGACACAGATGCTCCATAGAAAAAAGTGTCTGAAGTGTTGCCTTGGAGCTTCCCATTGGTGATAGCAGGAGGGTGGAGGCACTTCACGACTGGAAGTCAGGGAGAGACAGATGACAGTGTTGAAGTAAGAATCCTCACAGACAGCCAGAGAACAGCTAAGGCCCTGTACTCTTGCAGCCTTGCTCTTTCCATTTCTTCATCTAGTTTCAACAATTGATTCCTTAGCTCTGGAACTCCACCACGTTTTGTGAACATGGATAAACTTTATCTTGTTCTCATCACTCATTTCGTAGTAAAGGACTCAGATGTAGTCCTTATATAAATCTTGCCCTCAGGCACATTATGTATTAAACTTTCTTCTTAGCTCTCTGCCACAAAGACACACCTTGGCAGACAGGAGAAGGATGGCTCCAGGCTCCAGACTCTGTACAGTAAATGGATGCCATCCCAATGAGGGAGAAGCCAATCTCACAGCTGTAGTTCACAGATGTTCCAGGAGGGAAAACTGCTTTTCCCAGGCCACTGTGACCCCCGTGGAGAATATCTGGGGGCTTGGAACAGTGCAGCACTAAGGAGAGAGAAGTACAGATTAAAAAGCACTCTTGGAGGCAAGAGGAGAACCTCCAAGCATCTGCGCATGGCTGTATGCCCACCTCCACACCACTGACACTAATGCACAGAGCCCACTGCCCAACCTCATGCACCCACTCTACCCTACAGCATCTGACTTGGTGTCACACCAATTTCTTCTGACACAAAGGAGCGCTGCCCAGCATCATCTTCCCTGATGCATTGGATAAGAAGAGTGATTAGCTGGTATATAGAATGAGAACTGCACATTTGTAAGACCGTTTTACAGCAGTATCCATACAGGTCCCTTACATCTGACAAAACCAGGCTGAGCTTAGTTTTAAGTTCATTTTGAGAAAGTGAGGCACCAGTTTTACTGCAGTGATAAGACTGGGAAAAGTTAGGGTAGATGGATCTTTAGGTTTAAAAACTAGGATTCCTCTTGCCCCCTAAACATCCTGCCATGTGCTACAAATAGTGCAAGGTCAGAAGGTACAGGTGTAAGGATGGGTGACACGCACTCACCTCGGTCACAGGCAGGGAGTGGAGGAAACCATGTGCCCCCAGATTGGCACTGGGACTTGTGGAGGACTTCTGAGATATTATCAGAGTTGCATTCAATTGTGATGATATCTCCAGGCACGTAGAGAGATTCTGATCCAATAGCTTTTCCATGCCCAACTCCTGGGCTCACACAGCCAGCTGTGGAATTGAGGGCAGAGAGAACTGAAAACTTGTGCAGGACAGATAAGGACATTTGGCCACAGAGAAGGCATTTTTTCCTTAGGTGGATTTTGCTCAAGAAACAGCTTGTTTCACCAACTCTTTAGCTACGTATCAGCACGTGCTTAACACATTCAGAAAGATGAGAATCAGTGACAAGAGTGTGAACATACCCTCACACCGAGGTAGGGGACGGCTCCAGACCCCATGCGGTGTGCAGAGGATGGACTTATTGCCAATGAGGAAGAAGCCAGGTTTGCAGTGGTAATGCACGATTGCACCTACGCCAAAAGTCTCTGAGAGTCTACTGTGTTCCCCATTGATGATGCTTGGGGGAGATGGACACTTTACCACTGAAAGAGGAGAGGAGAAAGGTAAGAAGGTGAAGCTAAATTATGGAAAAACAATTGTGTAAGAAAGGAGTAAAATGGATAATTGCTCCTCTTCCCCTCAAGAAAAAGGGCCGGGTGGGAGGAGCAGTTAAGGTTTGATAAGTCTTGCCTCCCATGTAACACCTACCTGGACTCGTTGCAGCAGCAGGATGATAATTGCATCTAGATGCAGCATTAAGAGTTGAAAATACACATTTGGTTGCATACACGCAATGCACAAATTTACCTTCGTTTCCTATCATCCTTCCTTTATATTTCCAGCAAATAAGTCCCTCTTCTCTGATAGTCAGCATCCTGCCATACAGCTACCGAGTTTCTGTCTATCAGAAACTGAAGCGCTTGTGGACTACAGACTGCAACAAGCAGGGAAGAAAAGCACAAATCCCACTTACTGCACTGCCCTCAACCTGGCTTAGCTCCTGTGTGAGGAAAGAGTCATAGGTGAAAGGAACACCTTCTGCTTTCTCCTTACAGCAGTCAGAGCAGGCAGGAAAGGGAATGCAGATGTGGCTTCAGAGAACAGGCAGCAGCAACCAGGAGTATCTTGCAGTGTTACTCACCCTGCTCACAGATGGGCACGGGAGGATCCCATGTTTTGTCAGCTTTGCACTGGGCTGTGGGATGCCCTTTCAGCACGAACCCTTCGTGGCACTGAAAGCTGACAGTATCCTTGTATCTGTAGCGCTGTTTGGGAGTGGATACTCTCCCATTCTGGATCTGTGGCACTGGACAAACTACCTCTGGAAAAGAAATTCATCATCTTAAAGAGGCAGCAAGCATGTGCTGTAGTTGATGCCCAGATAAAGCCCGTCCTGGCCACTGCTCCAGGGCAGACTCTCAGCAGAGCTGTGCAGGCAGAACTCAGCGACTCACAGAAGAATAATTTCAAGAATGAAGGGCTTTTTAGTGTCTTCATGTACCACGGGATTATCACAGTTTTTAATATGTAAACATAATTTTGTGCCTATAAACAAAATAATGCACATACGTTCCAAGTAAACATGTCAAGTGTTGTAGAAATCAAGTTTTGTTAGGCAGTCTCACAACTGTTTTACTGCACCAAGCTCGTGCTTTCCAAGGCAGTTCCATCTGAAGGAATGACCACATCTTAATTGCCATGACCAACCCTTGCAAGAGAGTCTTGTGGCTTGGATAACAGTGCAGTGGAAGATCTCAGCCCAGCTCTGCTCATGCGAGAGACATTTCTTCCTTCATCTATTGTGGAAACAACATCTATTGTTGTGAAACAAAAGGAACAAATCCTGGCAGGCATCTGACAACTCCTCCTTCCACATAATTCTGAAAGATCAAAAGCTGGCAACTGGAAAATTTGTAGAAGAAACCAAACAAGCATGGAAAACAAAACAACCTCAGAGGAATACTCTTTGAAAGTCTTATTCACCAAGGCTCTATTTATTTTAAGGAAATGCCACTTTTTGATTTTCAGGACTTAATATGGCAATTCGAGACCAGATTTAGTTGCGACCTACTTACTCTGACAAGTGGGAGGATCACCACTCCATGCAATATCTGCTCCAGAAAGCTCACAGCGCCGCAGGGACTGACCAACCAGCCGGTACCTGCAGTTACACAGAAGCAATAGCAGCTGATAGCAAGGCGTGCACGCCATGCTTTGCACTACCCCAGTGCTTCAAGAACACTCTCTTGCTTCTGGATAATTCTCTTGGTGGGATATGTGGGGATGGAAAGAACCAGGTTCCTCCTTCCTGGGCCAAAAGTACCAATCCTGGCTTACTGGCACGAGCTGAGCAGTGTGCTGTGCCCCCTCTGCTTTACATTGCCCAACACAAGCTCAGTAAATGGATCAGCAGAGGCAGCGTGGGACTCACCCTTCTTCACACGTGTAGTTCACGATGGACCTGAACAGGAGATCTGTCAGAACAACAACTCTGCCATTCTGTGGTGCTTCAGGATAATTGCATTCTTTCCCTGGGAAAGAACAAGGCTAAATTTAAACTCTTCTCCTGCAGTTTTACAATGTGCTACGAGAAAACATCTGAAGGATCTGTCCACATGCAAACACCAGCAAAAATTTTTATAGAAGACCAACAGCTGTCCAAACTATGTGACTAGTGAAGCCATGTAAGAAGCATTTTTTGTACCAAAGAATTTCTTTAGAAACCCATGTGTTTAAATTTAGACGCATTTCCAAAACCGACACCAAACGGATGGAGCTATTCACTTTTGCAGAACGCTCGCACATCAGACCACGTGTGGTTTTTGAGGCACGTCAGAACTGGCAGCACTGTGGGGTGTCTCATGAATCCTGGGCGGCAGGCGTAGCGCACCGTGCTCCCAGCGGGAAAGGCTGTCATGTTCTGGTGCTCCTTGGCCAGCTCAGCATAGCTGAGTGTTGGAGGAACACCGCAGCTACCTGCCGGGAGGAGAACACAGAGAGATCGTGTCCATCAGCATCTCCACAGGTTCCCAAGCAGCCTGGCTCCAGCCGTTGCCCCTCCACTGTACCTTCACAATGAGGAGCGGGCAGGCTCCAGTTTCCAGACTCGGTGCAGTAAATGGATGCCTCCCCCAGCAGGCTGTAGCCAGGATCACAGCTGTAGTTCACAGCCATTCCAGGAAGGAAAACTTCCACATCCTGGCTGTCATGATTACCTCCGTCAATATTTGGAGGTGAAGGACACTGTAACACTAAAAAGAGAAGGAAAAGGTCTGAAAAAGAGCACAAATGGGATAATGTGCAGGAAGGATGCATGCACAGTGCCACCAAAGTGAGTACAGCATCCAGTGTGTGTTGGAAGCAGGCTGATGTGCAGCCCAGGCTCTGTGCAGTGGCCGTTTGCTGGCTCCAGTAGCAGCTATGCAGGGAATGAAGGGGTCTAGAGATTTAAATCCTGACCCATTTGCTCTTCTGTTCCTGACAAAGGCTGCTGCAGCCCTCTGCCCTTGGTTCTTGCTGAAACACCATGGTGTCCTCCCTTTCGTGGCACTGATGGCATAGACAGCTCACCTTCACAGCGGGGCTGAGGGCTGCTCCAGCTTGCATTGCCAGTGCAGTACAGAGCTGCTGGTCCAGTAAGAGAATAGCCAGGGTCACAGCTGTAATTTACAGACATTCCAGGGATAAACTCCACGTCCATGCCATCATGCTGGCCATGGTCAATCACTGGTGGGGAAGGACACAGCTGCCCTGCAGGGAAAGAAGGTGTTTGGGTTTTTTTTGCTGCTTACTATTCCCAATTACTATTAGAGAACTCAGTCGCTGCAAATTCAACATCTCCTGTAATCCCTTTGTGTCCATGGCATATCCACAATGACAAAGACACCTTCACACCGAGGGGCAGAGTCACTCCACACTCCAGCAGCAGCACAATTCAGCACTGCTCCAAGGAGCACATAGCCAGGATCACAGGCATGGACAACAGACAAACACTGCCATGCCTTGGCCTCTGTGGCTCCCATTGCCAATGCCTGGGGGCTGAGATCACTGCACATCTGGGGAGAGAGGGCAAAGCCGTCCATCCATACAAAAAAAAAAGAAGTATGGAAAAATGAAAGAATCCATGCAGGATTCCAACCCTGCTTGTAACAGAGGGGTTGGAACTAGATGATCTTTGAGGTCCTTTCCAACTCAAGCCATTCTATGACCCCATGAAGCTGTACCTCCACAGTGTGGTGCTGGTCCGCTCCAGGCACCGCGCTCCCCATCCACTGTGGTGCAAAAGATGGAGGCTGTCCCAGCCAGCACGTGGCCAGGCTCACACATGTATGTGACCACAGCTGCATAGGGAAAGGCATCCATCAGGTGCCCGCTGTGTGTTCCGTGCGGGATGTTGGGAGGTGGGTCACAAACGATACCTGTGTGGGATGCACATGTGGGGTTTTAGTATCAATGCTGCTGCAGTGCTGGGGACTGCAGGGCCGTTCACTTCCAGGAAGGGATGGATGCGGGTGAACCCATCCCTGTGGTCATGCTGTCCCAAGTAAAGCACTGCTCTGAATCTCTTTGTGCTGTGCTCGGCTCCCACCATGTGCACTTACTCTGGCAGACAGGAACAGCCCCAGTCCACGTCACTCGCGTCCCAGAGCCTGAAATCACGCAGTGTCGCTGAGAAGCTCCAACTAGTCTGTACCTGGGGTTAAACAACAGCGCTCCTGTTACGGTGGGACTCTCTTTGGAGGTTGCATCTCCCACAGTCACCAATTACCTCCCTGCTTGCCACCACATACTGCCATTTTAACCATTTTGAAGGTACGGACCTGAGCTCACTTGGCCCTGGGTCTCCTCAGTGGGCACAGCAGCACAGTTTGACCAGGACTCACCCTTCATCGCAAGTGTAATTCACAGTTGATCCAAAGAGGAGATCTGTTATAACAATAACTCTGCCGTTTTCTGGTTCTCCTGGATGATCACACCTTCTCCCTGGACAGAACAAGAGGTGTTTTTCAGCTTAACTCAGCATGAAAGGAAAAGTGGCGTTGGAATTCTAAGGATCTGACCAAATCCCCAGGGTAGAGAACCAAAAAAAAAAATCCAGCAAGCTACAGGGCTTCCATTGTCACACTGTGATTTAAATGACAAAGAAGCATCTGTAAAACTTACGTCTGCAAAACTTCTTAGCTTCAGACCACGTCTGATTTTCAAGGCACGTAATAGTGGGTGGTATCTGTGAATGTCTGGCGTATCCTGGCTGGCAGGTGTATTTCACTGTGGTCCCAACTGGAAACTCAGTCCAATTCTTATACTCCTTGTTTAGCTCAGCAAACTGTAACAGTGTCGGTGTCCCACATCCAACTGCAGGAAAAAAAAAAGCACGTGAGGAATTAGGCTGGTAGTGAAACAGAGCTGAGAAGCAAGAGCACTGGTAGATTCGACTACAAAACCTGGGGGTGGTAGCATCTCTTCTATCCTGTGTTCTGACATTTATCTACATGAATAACTCTTAGTGTGGAAGGATGCATGCATGAAATTTATGTGGTCTTTAAAAACCCTTAATTTAGCCAGTTTTATACTTCCACACATCCTTGGGGATTGGCTGTTGGCCTTAGGCTACAGGAATCTGCAGGCTCAGATATGAGAGAGCATTGTGCTGGAATTGAAATTCATCCCCAAAATTTCCACAGCGTAGCTTGGGGGCTGCATGCCATGCCATGCTGCACTGTGCCTTCCCCTCACCTGCACAGCGTGGGTATGGGAGGCTCCAGCTCCCTTCCAGGCACCGGACAGAGGGGTCTCCAAGCAGGGAGAAGCCGGGCTGGCAGCTGTAGTTCACAGACATTCCACTGGTGAAGTTGGTCTCGAGCTCAGCATCGTGTATGCCATGGGCAATGGTGGGTGGTGGAGGGCAAGGCAGCGCTAGCAGGGTGTGAGGAGAGAATGAAATTGGAGTGATTTTGCATGATGCAAAAGCAACGGATCCCTGTGTGTCCTTGTCCCCATACAGGGCTGCCCAGTTCCTGTCTTCCCACAGAGCCAGCAGCAGCTGTGCCCACTCACCTGGCTCGCAGCTGGGGATAAAGGGGACCCAGCGGCCATCGGAATGGCACTTGGGCTCCTGGCTGCCCCGCAGCATGTAGCCCGGGTGGCACCGGATGGTGATGATGGTCCCGGGCCGGTAGACAGCTTGCTGCCCTTCAGCCACTTCTCCGTGCTTAATGCTAGGGCTCATGCAGGTGACCACTGGGAGCAAAGAGCAGCAAAGCCTGAGCTGGGGAAGTGGCTGCCAGAGCCAGGCTTCCTCCTGTGTTTTTATGAGGTCAAAATTCAGTGAGCATCCACATGAAAAGGAGTGCATGGACTTGAAATCCTTTAAATGCCTGCCCACCCGCTCCCCCGTGCTCCTCTGTGCATGCAGCCCATGGGCCAGGGCCTTTCCGCTCACCTTCGCACCGCGGGTAAGGGATGCTCCACATTCCAGATGTCAAACAAGTCACTGCTGTTTTCCCCGTGAGGACGTACCCCGGGTCACATCTGTACCTCACAGAGGTTCCGGGGACAAACATTTTCACATCCTCACTACTGTACTGACCGTGTGTGATATTTGGAGGGGAAGGACACTGCAGCACTACAGGAAGGGGAAAAATCAAACGTGGTGAAGGTCTACATCCCAGGTCTACACCCTGTGTGATGAGGCTGCATTGCTATTTCTTTCTTCCCCGTTAGCTGTTCCCAGGTATCTAAAGGTGCCAAAGTTTGGATATGATTCTGCCCAGCCCACACCCGTCTCCTGCCTCCATTTCTGTCCTGCTACCCAAGGGGACCCTTAGGGTCCCTTTACCTCCAATGTGACGTAGTTGCACCTGCTGGGGTGGATTCAGAAGTCACCCATCACCCACCCGCTTACACTTACTCTTTTCACAGGTAGGAACAGGAGGATCCCATGTGCCCCCAAACTGGCATTGAGACTCATGAGAGCCCTTTAAGGCGTAACCAAAATTGCATTCAAAGACAGCGATGGCCTCGGGCATATAGACGGACTCTGGCCCAGTCACTCTTCCATTCTCAATCTCAGGTCTTCTGCAGCCTATTGCTGGAAGTGAAGATTATAGGGCATATTTGGGACACAAAGCCAAGCCAGCGTGGTAACTGCAATCAAGCCTGGCCATCAACACCATAGGTGTGTCAACAATATTGATTCATATTCTTGCCCCCCAAAATCTGAAATCTCATTATCCCAATGTGCTCGAGAGACTCTCCATATTTTGGCCCCCTTTGGCTGTTCCTCTGTGGGGATTTGGTGAGTAATGGTTAAACCCAGAGCCAAGAGGAAAGAGATGACCCAGGTGCCAAGCAGCCGACACAGACATACCTTCACAGCGTGGCCGGGGCTGGCTCCAGGTTCCTGCAGCAGTGCAGGTGATGGATGCATTCCCAGTGAGCAAATAGCCATCCTTACAGCTGTACTGAACGGCCACACCGGGCAGGAACGTGTCCGAGGGCTGGCTGCTGTGCTTCCCATTGGCGATGCTTGGAGGGGGAGGACACTGCACATCTGCAGAAGGGAGGGAGTGAATATTATTTAATATGGATAAGAAAATAACTCAACCTTCAGAAACCAAAGGAGGAAGACAATGAACCCCATTAATAAACATCTGCCTCCCACCATCCTTGCAGCACTCACCTCCGCAGCGCGGCGGCGGCCCGCTCCATGCACCGCGCTCCCCATCCATGGTGGTGCAGAAGATGGAGGCTGTCCCAGCCAAAACACGGCCTGGCTCACACGTGTAGGTGACCACGGCCGCGTAGGGGAAGGCATCCATCGATCCCCCACTGTGTGTCCCATGTGGGATGTCTGGGGGTGGGTCACAGACAATACCTGGGAATACACAGCTGAGGTTTTAGCACTGTTGCTGCAGTACTGGGGTCTGGGACCCTTCATTTCCAGGAAGGAATAGATGAAGGTAAACTCATCCCAGCAATTAAGCTCTTTGAGCAAAATGACCCAAATTATCCTGAGATAATGTGTGGGAAGGCAAACTCGTACCTTGGGTCAGTCATTTCCTCGCTATCCTGCTAAAGGTGGGGGCACAGTTCTTATTGTCCTCTCCATAACCACTGTGACTCACACAGAGAGAACCTGATCAAACATTTCTACTCACGAGCAGTGAGGAATTCTTACTAACGGAACAGGAAGTTTAAAACATGCACAGCGTTCCCAGTTTGGACCAAGATAAAAGGCCTTTGAAAACAATTTCAGAAATATCCAAAACGAAACAAAGCATAAGAAATAAGAAACATGAAATATTTCACAGATAGAGTGACCCAAGAAATCTTTTGTAATGGCACCTTTGCCTTGAAAGATTCTCCCCTTCCTCTGTACACCCCAAGGAAGCCATCTCCAAGGGCCCCCTCCCATCCCACTTACGATGGCAGGTGGGAGCATCCCCGCTCCATGCAACGCGTGTGCCAGACACCTCGCATGTCCTCTGCGAACGCCCGATCAGCTTGTATCTGCATCACACAGAAGCACCAGTAATTACATGAAGAGACTCCAGACTTCTTCACAAGCCTTATTAATAGCAGCCAAGACTTCTGACTTTATGAGGTTCCTCCACGTAAAGTCATTTTGCCACTTAATTTCTGCGTTACTCTCAAATGACAGCTGAGTTCAGCTGGCCACAAACTCACCCCTCGTCACACGTGTAATTCACTTTGGACCCAAGGAGGAGATCAGTCAGGACCATGGCTCTGCCATTCCGTGGGTCATCAGGGTTTGCACATTGCTTCCCTGCGAGAGGACACAGCTGCTGTTAGCACTGCACATCAGCATTGTGCACCAAATCCCCTGGGGACGCTCAAACAGACAGCGTGCTGCCCCAAAGGAATAAACCCACAAAACCAGAAGGCTTTGCACTCAAGAAGTATGAATTTCCCAACAGCACATGCAGGACGTACTTTTGCAGAACTCCAGTGCCACAGACCAGCTCTGATTCCCGAGGCACGTGATGGTTGGTGACATCCCCACGTGCCAGGCATAGCCGGGCTGGCACATGTACTCCACAGTCCCACCCACAGGAAAGGCAGTCTGGTTCCTGTAGGGCTCCTTCAGCTCTGCGAACAGCAACCTGGGGGGTGCCCTGCAGCCAGCTGTCGGGGACACAAGCCAACAACTTATCAAAGGGTCAGGGGACACTGGGGCAGGGTGGCACCCGCAGTGCTGGCCGGCCACTTGCCCTGCTCGCAGATGGGCACTGGGGGCTGCCAGGTGCTGTTCTGCTGACACTGCACCACCCTGGGGCCACGGATGACATAGCCTGGCTCGCACTCGAAGGTGACATTGTCCTTGTGTGCGTAGATGCTCCGAGGAGCTGGCACTATCCTCCCATTCTGGATCTGCGGGGCAGAGCATCCTGCTTCTGGAAGGGAAGAGATGTCCTCAGAGCTTGCACAGCTGTGCACTGCAAAGCACTTGCGTCTGCAATCACTTTCAAGTTGCAAGCCTGAAGGTTATTTTCCTATTGATGATGCACTGCCTTACAGTGCAGGGGAGACCCCAGCTGGAAGGTGAGGCTGGGAGTGCTGCAGATGGTGCGTGCTTCTACAGCATCCTGCCTGCACCTGCCCCAAGGCAGCAATTCTTGCCCAAAGCAGCAAATCTTGCACCAAAGCAATAAATCCCACTCTAAAGCAACAATTCCCACGCCAAAGCAGCAAACACTGCCTCAGCAGGCACCCAGACAACACATGCAACCATTTTGAGGTCTCCTCGCCTTTCCAAACAGAAAACGGTTGGGCTGCTGCACTCAAGCACTCCCACCTGCTCCCTCTGAGCCCTACCTCCACACAGTGGGGGGGGTCCACTCCACACCCCGTTTTTCCCATCTTGGGTGGTGCAGAAGATGGAAGCATTCCCGTGCATTGGGTAACCGGGCTCGCAGCTGTAGGTGACCGAGGTGCCATAGTGGAACTCATCCAGCAGCCGCCCCGTGTGCTTCCCATGGGGAATGTTGGGGGGGGGCACACAGGGGATACCTGCAATGGGGCACAGCAAACCTTCTGCATTCAACACAGCACTGAAGTACTCAAAACCCCACAGTCTGGGGGGCGTACAAACTTGGTCTACAGGTGGAACGACTGAAATTCCTCTTATGGAGGAAGCTTCTACGTGCTTTATCCTTTCTACTGTTCAAGAAGTAAAATAACCACCCAACAACCTCAAGTCTTCTGTGCAAAATCTATACAAGCAGTGCTGAGAAATCACTGTCCGCGACTCCTCACTTTCAATAGTCCATTTCTCTCTGAGATTTTGTACTTCTTCCCAGAATATTTCTTTATGACATCAAACCCTTCTGATATTTCCATGCCCGCGGAGATTTGGGAGCTGCAAATCCCAGCACCATGCAGACCCAAAGCTGGGATCTACTCACGCTGGCAGGTGGGAATGTCACCGGACCACGCAACGCGTCCCCCATGGATCTCACATCGCCGGCTGGACTTCCCAATCAGCCTGTGCCTGGAGGTAGAAGGGCTCACATTCACTCCAGTCACTTTGCTTTGAGCTGTCACCCCCTGCAGTGGGTTCAGCAAGTGGAGCCCTGGCACTGCGGGAGAAATTCCCCTCTGAGCTCAGCACCTGTCTACCTTTTTTCACAGCAAAAGATTGGGAAAACCCCATGTGCTCATATAGGTACAGAGCTCTATGCCTGGGCTTCTTTATGCATTGAGAATGAATGGATGAAAAGGAGGAAAAGAGGGAGGCTTACCTGACACATCTGGCCTTGACCTTTTAAGGAGCAGACCTGAACTCTGCACTTACCCTTCTTCACAGCTGTAGACCACTATTGACCCAAAGAAGAGGTCTGCCAGGGCTGTAATCCGGCCATTCTCGGGTTCCCCGGGGTGATTGCATTGTTTCCCTGGAGGAGAGAGAATCTCCCTATAGGCTTCTCCCTATAACAGCCCAAGAGATGCAACTGCTATTCCAGTAATCCTCCCACATTTCCAATTACCCCCAAAATGGGTTTCAAGTAACATAAGTTTACATGGCTTTACTAGTCACATAGGATTGGAACACCAGAATCACGTTAAGGTTTTTGCAGCATGGACAGAACCCAGCACCTATTCCTTTCTGGAACAACACCACCAAATCAAGGAGCTATTCACTTTTACAGAACTCGAGTGCTTCTGACCACACTCCGCTCTGCAGGCATGTAATAGTGGGTGACATTCCTGGGTGCTTAGCAAATCCGGGCCGACAAGTGTATCCCACAGTCTTCCCAACAGAGAAATCAATCTCATTTCTGTGCTCCTCATTGAGCTCAGCAAAGGTCAGCCTGGTGGGAAGCCCACAGCCACCTACCAAGAGAAAACAGGCAGAGTTAGGCAGGACAGGAGCACTGGGTGAAAGCAGAGAGAGAACACCGTTACCAGGAAGAATGTTTATTTTGCCTTGGACATTTGGTTATTTGGCCTGATGTAGTCACTACTAAGCAAACACAGAACCACAGAATCATCTTTTTTTCCCAAAGGATTCCAGATTTCAGGCTCCTGTTCCCAACAGATAACTAAATCTTCTGCTTTCTTACAGCATTTAACGCTTTATTTAACAGCTGGGTTAGGGGCTAGCAAGCAGCCACCCACCCCAGGCAGCTCCAGAATCATTACCTGAGCTCTCAGCCCTTCTGGGCAGCACGGAGCTGTGGAGTGGATCACAGAGGGGCGCTGGGGGGTCCCAGCTGCCATTCTTCTGGCACAGGGCTTGGGCACTGCCCCGCAAGCTGTAGCCTTCCTGGCACTGAAACGTCACCATTTGCCCCGGTGCATAGATGAGTCCGTGATCATCAACTACCCACCCATCCTGTATATCTGGCTTTAAGCAGACGGTTGCTGGAAGAGAAGATGTGAAGAAATGATGAGCAAAAGGAGCAAAAATAAGCAGATAAAAACCCCAAACCCACAGGCTGCTAATAGTGCAACAGCAAAAATCTACAGGGCGTTGTCCAAACATCCCTAGCCCTGTTTTGATAACAGAAGGGTTTGAAATTAATTTCCACCATGCAGCACTTCACGTGGGATTAATTCTAAGGACCTGAGGGCTGTGGGGAGGAGGTCTGCCCACAGTGAGCACGGACGCACCTTCACAGCGTGGGCTGGGCTGGCTCCAGGTCCCTGATGCTCTGCAAACCACATGTGCATTCCCAACCAGGTAGAAGCTGGGATCACAGGTGTACGACACAGACATTCCTGTGGTGAAAAAGCCTTCACCGTGCCGGTTGTGATCTCCATTGCTGATCTTTGGAGGCATGGGGCACGGCTGAACTGCAAAGAGGAGATGGAATGAGAGAGGAACACGACGGGGATGAGTGGCTGTGATGGACACGGGGATGTGTAGCAACCCTGCTGGCTCCTCCTGCGCCCTGCACACACTCACCCCGCTCACAGCTGAGCACCGGTGGGTCCCAGCTCCCCCCAGGCTGGCACCGAGCCCAATGGCCGCCCTCTGCAGCATACCCAGCATCGCAGTCAAACCGCAGCGTCTCCCCAGCCTCAAAGGTGCCCTTCAATGCCTGCACCTTCCCGTTGTGCACTGTGGGACTCTGACAGCCGATGGCTGTGGGAACACAGATATGGTTGTCAGTGCAGGGCCGCATCCTGCGGCTACAGAGCAGCCGTGCCCACAGGGCGGCCTCCACCCACCTTGGCAGCGGGGCAGGGGCCGGCTCCAGCGCCCGACTTCTGAGCAGCTGATGGAGACGTTCCCCACCAGCTCGAAGCCATCCTTGCAGCTGTAGTACACAACGGTGCCATGTGGGAACCTGGCAGAGGAGCGGCTGCTGTGCCGCCCATTGGCGATGTTCGGGGGCTGAGGACACGTCACTTCTGCAGGGGAATTGGAAAAGTCGTGAGGGACGTGGGACAAGCGGTGCTGTGGGGAGGTGCAGCTCAAAGCAGCTCAGCAGTCAGCATGGAAAAGGTGAAGGTGGGGCAGAGATTTGGTACCCTATGTCCTGCTCATCTCTGTGTCCCTCCTGCCCGCTGCAGCTGCCCAGGCTTTCCTTTCAGAACAAGGAAATTTGAGCTGATTTAATGAAGCCCAATCAGCCTCATCCTGAAACTGCCTCTGCAGACCCAGTGTGTTATCTCAGTCTGGCCTGGTGGCTCTCAGCATCATGGCCAGGCACTGGGTTCAGTAACACAGGTCTTAGTCCAGAAATGAAGACTGCAAACATAGCATGGCTTAGGCTCACGTTGGCACTATGAATGGCCATTTTTAGCTTTGAATTTTCATAGAAATATTCCGAGTTTAAGGCCTACTTTCACTCAGAAACAATGGCACTAAAATGCTTCGTCATATCATTAATTACTTAGAGAATTAGTACAGAAAACTCTGCTCTAATTGGAGGAAGCAGTGGTCCCTGCTGGGCTGTGCCTGGAGCACTCCACATGGCTGAGCCCCAGCTGCACTGCCCAGCACTGGGCAGGATGGAGCCATGCTGCTAGAGGCAATGCTGGAGGTACAGAACCTGTAGCTTCAGAAACACTTAGCTCAGGGTTCATGGATATAAGCTCATCCTCTGCATGTAATAAAACTGAATACTTAACTTCAGGAGAATTGAATCCCTTGCTGAAGGGCTCAGTGCCATGGCCAGCAGCTGTGTCATGCCATGCTGGCCACAGAGCGAGGTGACAGCGTGCAGACAGGGTGACCTTCACACACGTGTACCTTCACAGTGTGGGCTGGGCTGGCTCCATTTCCCCGATGCTTTGCAGAAGACACGTTCAACGTTCCCAGCCAAGTAGTAGCCGAGATTACAAGTGTACGTCACGTACATCCCCATGGTGAACTCTGCTTTACCATGGCCATCATGATCTCCATTGCTGATCTTTGGAGGCGTGGGGCACGGCTGAACTGCAAAGAGGAGATGGAATGAGAGAGGAACACGACGGGGATGAGTGGCTGTGATGGACACGGGGATGTGTAGCAACCCTGCTGGCTCCTCCTGCGCCCTGCACACACTCACCCCGCTCACAGCTGAGCACCGGTGGGTCCCAGCTCCCCCCAGGCTGGCACCGAGCCCAATGGCCGCCCTCTGCAGCATACCCAGCATCGCAGTCAAACCGCAGCGTCTCCCCAGCCTCGAAGGTGCCCTTCAATGCCTGCACCTTCCCGTTGCGCACTGTGGGACTCTGACAGCCGATGGCTGTGGGAACACAGATATGGTTGTCAGTGCAGGGCCGCATCCTGCGGCTACAGAGCAGCCGTGCCCACAGGGCTGCCTCCACCCACCTTGGCAGCGGGGCAGGGGCCGGCTCCAGCGCCCGACTTCTGAGCAGCTGATGGAGACGTTCCCCACCAGCTGGAAGCCATCCTTGCAGCTGTAGTACACGATTGCTCCTGGGAGAAATTTGTTCGTGGATTGGCCGCTGTGCCGCCCATTGGCGATGTTCGGGGCCTGAGAACACATCACCTCTGCAGGGGAAGATGAAATTGCACTGGGAGTCACTATTTTGTACACAGGATTGATGGTCAGGATGACAGCCTGACTGCTGCTCGGTCTGTGTTTTGTTAAATTAGAACAGCACGAGATCACAATCGCATTGCATCTGGGGAAAATCACTCCCAACAGAGGCACTCCTTCCCCTCTGTCAATAGGGAAACAGCACATCACAGCTCGGGCAGAGCACACACGTGAGCAGAGAAGCAGCACAAGTGGGAAACTCTGATTACTTCCCATGCTGGGAGGAAGATGGAAACATCCCATGTGTGGCCATAAGCAGAAGTCCAGAAATCCCCCCAGGGAGGCAGATGGTGCAACCCCCCCCTGGCTGCAGCCTTTGGTTGCACAGCAGCACAGCACCAGTGTTAGCTTCTCCACATCCCCTGAGAGCCCTGGCTGCTGCCAACTCCATTCCCCATCCCAGCCCGTCTTTCCAGAGCTGCTTCCCTCCCTCCCACTTCGGGAAGAGCAGCAGGAACATCCTAGCTTTGCTTTCTCAGCAATATGAGAGGACACGGAGGGAGCTCTGCCCTGCAGCAGCCCCACTCACACACACACACAACACTTGCCCTTTTTGCATGCCGGCAAAGGTGGGCTCCAGCTGAAGTCAGCTTGGCAGATACTCGTGAAGGAGCCTTGCAAGGTGTAGCCCGTGTTGCAGGCGAATCTTACTGTGTCCCCAGGCCGGTAGATGTAGCGAAAAGGAGTGCTCCTCCCATTCTCAATGTGTGGCACTGCGCATCGGCGCTGTCTGACTGGAAAGAGAGACAACAGCCACGTTCAGCCACACAGCCCTCAGATCTGCAGTGCTGTGGCAGCGCTGCCCAACCAGCCTGCAAACCCAAATCAGCAGGGGGAGCAGCTCTGATGGCAAGCCATGCTCCTGTGGGTTTGGGCCGTGCTTTCCAGGCACCTCAGACTGTCAGATCAACAGCAGAGCTCAGCCTGTTTGCTCTGCCCCATCCCAATTCACTTCTATTTATCACAGCAAGTTTCAACTTGACAAATCCCAAACACAAGCTATTATTGCCACACTTCTTGAGTAATACTTCGTTCATGCCCTGCTTTACTTTGGCAGCTCAAACATGTAGGTTGAGCCCCTTGTTCTGAGAAGTTATGAAAGACTCTGTGCCCCATCTCCTGGTGCTGCCCCATGAAACGTTCCTCCTCACTGCTGCAGGAGCTCAGCTCCAAGTTCCCATCCAGAATGAACCTGCATGGCCCAAGCACTCTCAGCCAAGTGCCAAGGGAAGGTGCTGGTGTACAGCTTTTACTCTGGCACCAGCCAGCCCCAGATCTCTCCTGCCCCACAGAGAACAGGAGAAAGGCTTTGGCCAAGATGACAGATGCTTTTTTATAGAACCACAGAAGCATCCAATCATTAAGGCTGGAAAAGACCTCTGAGATCCCTACGTCCAACCCATCCCACCTTGCCCTCTGACCACGTCCCTCGGAGCCACATCCCCACAGTTCTGGGCGCCTCCCACCACCTCCCTGGGCAACCTGTGCTGCTGCATCACCACTCTTTTGGAGAAGAAATTTCTCCCAACATCCAACCTGACCCTTCCTTGCTGCAACAGAGGTCATCACCTCTGTGATGCTCGGGATCTGGCATGCCCACATCCCCCTGTTCCCAGGGATCTGCCTGCCCTGCACTGGGGAAAGCCAGAGGAGCACAGAGAGGAGCAGCAAGGAGGCAGAGGAGGGGTGTGGAAGGAAGGTGAAGGTCCTGCCTTACCTTGCTGCCCACTCACAGCAGCCAGGAGCAGAGCGGAGCAGCCCAGGATGCTGAGGGTGAAGGTGAGCACCATGCTCTGGTCCCAGTGCTGACTGCAGATCCCAGGGGACGCGATGCAGATATGGGGGTCCTGGTTCCCCATGCCTGAGGAAGGATCGCAGCTGTGGGGGTTTCCCAGGGCTGGGGGACAGGAACCTGTGGGCTCCTGCACAGGGTGTGGGCAGCCACAAGCCTGGGCTGTGCAGCCCCAGTGACGTTCTGCTGATGGTATTTTGGTCCCTTCATGCAAGGGAGGATGGCCCTTGGGACCTGCTTTGGGACATGAGGTATCTGTGACAGAGAATGCATGAGGGGCTTTCAGCCAGATGGAGTCATTGCAGAGCATCACTGGTTATGGGAAGTGGCCAGGGTTCTTCCTGAGCAGCCATTGCCAGCTAAGCCTGCCTGGCTACGGGAAGGGAAGGGCAGAGTAGAACACTTCCACCTCTTCCCACACACTGGGCTGGGGCAGCTGGATACACTCTGTCCCTGGGGGGCAATGGGGCAATGCTCTGCAGCTGGAGACTGACCATCAGGGCTCCAGGACCCCCCCAGCAGTGCTGCATGGCAGGGGATGTTCTGAGCACAGAGGAGGCAATTGGCAAACAGCGCTCAGGTTGTTCTTATCCCTTTTACTGGCAGCTTTCATGACGCACGTGGTCACTTCAAGATGAAGTTCAATCATTTGGGAAATGAACTCTGGACTATGCAACAGAAACAATGATGCTGAGGTTAAAATAAAGAAGAACACAGCAGTAAGGCACTGAGCTTTCCATTTGTGTTCTGATCCTTACGACAATACATTTTTCACATACATACAACCAGATTTTCACACACATCTCTCTATATACGTGTCTGTATGTGAAATGCGTATTTATGAATGAAAAACAACCTGCAACTTCTGGTTTTGTAATATTTACTTCTGAAAACAGTGCTTTGCTTTGCCAGAGGGTCAGCTGGGCAGGACAGAGCCCTGCTGTAAGGGGAACACTCTGAGTCTATTTACAAGAAAGTTCAGGTGCTTGTGGAAGTGGCTCTCTGTGCTTTTTCCTCTTCACAGATGCGTGTTCCGGTTAACAGGAAGGCACAAATAAAAATGCAGAAACAAATAAGTGCACGATAAGCATTCTGAATACTTCCATTTTCCAGCTGTAGATCGTGAAGCTGAGAAGGATCGTGAAGAACCCGGAGCTGCAATCTTCAGACACAGCCCTGAGCCTCTATGTTTTGCTTAGCAGAGGCACAGGGTCTGAAGGCATCAGCAGCGCATGCATTTCAGAGCTGTCAGTTTTGCATTCCACATAACTGGGATCCCCATGAAGCCTTCAGCTCCTGCCCTCACCTCCAAGATGTCAGCTTGCTCCTTGCCCTGCTCCCCAGGGACGAATAAATAATAAAGGCTCTGCTCGGTGCCTCTCTGTGCCAACCTCAGGTGCAACATCAGCTGCAAGTCCTTCTGGATGCAACCTCAGATGCAGCAGGCGCTCTGGGCACCCCAGGCAAGCAGAGCAAGAAGCCCAGCCCTGCTTTCCCCCCACCAGCACAGCAGCCCTGATGTCTCACAGCTGGGCAGCTTGAGCAGAAAGCAAAAATGTTGACAGCAAGTGACTTTGTGCATCTGGGTGGCAGCTCACTGCAGGCTGTGCATGGCCCTGGGGCAGGAAGGAAGGGCAGCTCTGGGTGGTTGGAGAGAAGCACTGATACCAAGCAGGGAGGTGGCAAACACTTTCACACGGTTTCTGAACCTAATTTTAGCACAAACAGGAAGAGTCAGAACAGTTATTTGTCACAAGGTGTTTATATTTATATTCTCTCCAGCAAAATTACCCATCTATAAGGTTTGTTTTGTCCACATTGGCCTTGAAGAAAATGCTACAGTGTGCTTCTATGCAAACATTGTCAGTGCTTTCAGTGTCACAGTATTTGGCTCACCCTATTAATTCAAGTATGTACCACTCATACAGGAACAGTCACGCATCAGGACACTTCAGAGAGCTGTGAGCCCTAATGGGAACAAGGCTCAGCATTACCTCAGTGGGGCTGAAAATCAGACCACAGAGGTACACAAAGTGCCAAATTTCCTCGAGTCCACAGCAGTGCAGTTCAAAAACCTTTGGTATCACTGCCACTTCCCATAGAGATAACCACACTCACATCTGAGCCGCTGGCACAGCCACACTGCTGTTGTGTCCAGCACAACGCCAGCTAAAAAGTGCAACATCTTGTCTGGGGGGCACGAGGGCTCAACATCATCTTCATCCATCACAGGTCTGCCAGTCGCTGTGGCAGGGTTGATTTCTCCAGCAGGCAACATAGGGCACAGCCACATCCCACCATCTGAATGCTGCAGCCGTGCCCTGATCTAGAAGTTCATCACCAGCATTGCCAGGAGGAGGGGCAGGACTCCTGCAAGAGGCAAAAGGAACTTCAGGCTGTGCACTCACCCTTTCCCTCCCAGCCACAGACATGCAGCACCTCCGCCTTCCTCCCCACCTCTTTTTCACAGCAACAAAAACATAAGCATGACAACAGACTGCTATGGAAGACTCTTCGGCCTGTTTCAGGTTTAAGTAAAACACAGAAGGAACCAGTAATGTAAAGATACCCAAGGATGGGAGCACAACGATCTGCAGTACATGTCACTTACCAACAATGATGCTGCTCGCTCCATCTGGAAAGGAAGAAAGCCAACATGTGACTCTGCACAGCCATGCCACACTTCAAGGCACCTGATTATAAAGCACTGAGCAGCTCAAAGCCAAAGGGAGCCCTTCAGGACATCTGATTATACAGCACTGAGCAGCTCAAAGCCAGCACACGTGGGGAAAGGGAGCCCTGCATCACCCTGCACTGCCCTGCACCATGGGGGTGAATCCATCTGCGTTTTAGCAGATAACACTGCCATCAGCCTGCAAGGCTGTGATGCAGCCCAGTCCCGTGCTGTTAGCATGAGATTCTAAGTGGGGTTGTTCCAGGAAGTGCAGATGGCATATTCTGAGCTGAGCTGCCTCTTTGAAGGTTCAAAGAGAAAGTAAAAACAGGGCGTGTTTCTGTTTTGTTGCTTTTGCTTTTTTAAACAGGGAGAAAACAGCAAGACAGGCGCAGGAGAAAAATCACCTCTGCACTCAGGAGGGGGTGTGCTCCAGACTCCACGATCCTGAGCCTTCGCCAGGCACTGAATGGTGCTGCCTCCAACCAGGACGAAGCCATCATTGCAGGAATAAACCACAACGGAGCCCTGGGGGAAGGCTGTGACCTCTGTGCCATTGTGAATCCCATTGCCGATGCTGGGGGGCTGTTCACAGAGAATATCAGAGCGCCGTCCTGTGGGGAACAGCACCAGGAGAGACTGAGCGCTTCTCCTAACTGAAAATGTACACAGTGTGCATGGGGAGAAGGAAATACAGCCAGGGCTGTGCATCTAGCAGCAAGTGGGAATGCTTTGAGTGCTCCTGCTAAGTACCAGACCTCAGCTACTGCCCTTAGCCCGGCTCTGGAGTCTCTGGAGCCCATAGCAAGACCTGGGAGTGACAGTCAGAAGCATTTCAGCCATTCCCAGCTTCCCATCACGCTGTGCATTACCCCACTTTGACATTACAGCAAATTAAGAGGATAGGGCTCTTACATCCCTGGTAACCGCAGGGAAAGAAAGCTCTCCCCACCCAAAAATCAGGTAGCAATTTTTCTTTTCATGTAACTTTTGCTCTCCCTCCTCAGCTTAATCTCTGAGAGTTCCATGATGCCTCACAGTACAAGTCAGTACTGAAATCCCAGCCCCATCCCACCCCCATGCAGCTGTTGTCCCCATGGCTTGGTGCAGCTTTCCCTTTTCCTTACTTTCACAGGATGGGAGATCCACGTCCCATTCAACTCCATTTCCCACTGCCACACATTTGGCAGAAGATGATCCCTTTAATTCATACCTAAAAGAAAGAGGGGAGGTTTAACACACTCCAGAAAACAACCCAGCAATGGTTCTCCCTTCCTCCCATGGCATGGATGGAAGCGATCAGGAGTTGCCCCTGCTACAGAATGGGATCTGGGCCACTTGGGTGAGTAAGGACACTGTGGTGCTGTGCAGGCAGCACATGGCTGATGTGAAGAGTTCCCAGCATCAGTGCTCAGCGAGCATTGCCTCTCTCAGCTCAGTTACACTCAACAGGCAGCTGTACTGGGATCTTGCACTGGGAACCAGGGCAGGAGGTGCTGCAGGTGTGTGTCACAGCCTACTGGAGTCCCTGATTTTCTGCCCCAACTCACTCAGCGTTGCAGGAAAAGGTCACAGTTGCCTCAAACAGGAAACTGTCCTCATTCACAATCCCGTTCTGTATTGTGGGAGCAGTGCATTGCTGACCTAGAGAAAAAGAAATTGATTCATACATTCTTGAAGCCAATTCAGCAAGAAAGCTGTAGGCGTGTCTGCAAACCCAGAGCTGGATACCAACCAGAGTATCCAGCATCTGGAGCAGGTTTAGCTCACTTGTATGGCCAAGCAGAAGAGCAGAGGTACCCACGTGTGCACAGCGCAGAGCCTGCAGACCAGGTGGCATCCAGCAGACAGGTGACTTCCAGGGACTTCCCATTCTCTGTGGTGAAACCTGGCTGACACCAGTATGTCAGCTTCGTTCCAGCCAAGGAGCTGCTGTTTGCAGCCCCTGTTAACTCAGCAGAAGGGATGTTGGGAGGAGGGCCACAGTATCCTGACAATTGGAGACAAAAGCAGTGCTAGCTACCAAAGCTAACGTGGTCCGTGCTCAGCTGCACCATCTGCAGCACACAAATGCAAGCTTCAGGGCAACTGCTTCAGGAAGAAAGCCTGTGTGTACTCACGTGGGTCACACGTTGGCAGAGGTGGCTTCCAGGCACTGTCTGCATCACAGGTAACCGTCTGAGCGCCACTCAAAGCGTGCCCAGGAGCACACTCAAAGCTCACTTGTTCTCCATACGTGTACTCAGTGGCAAAGCTGTTTAAATTCTTCCCATTTTCCACTTCTGGCTTTTCACATCTCACCACTGGAAGTGAAGGGGAGTTGATAAGAATACTTGTTGCAAGAAGAAAAAGCATCACCAGGGCCACTACGTGAGAAGCTCCTATAGACAGTGGCACATAGGCATGACACAAGTACCCAGTAAGCAGAGACACCGTGAAGAAACAGCATCCAAAGCCTCCTTGGGCAACCTGTGCCAGTGCCTCACCACCCTCTGCATGAAAAACTTCCTCCTAATATCCAACCTAAACCTCCCCTGTCTCAATTTAAGGCCATTCCCCCTTGTCCCATCACCATCCACCCTCATAAACAGCCGTTCTCCTTCCTGTCTGTACTCTCCTTTCAAATACTGGAAGGCCACAATGAGGTCTTCATCTGCCTACGCTCACGCAGTTCAGGTTATCACAGCAGCTTCCCATGTGCTGAGGAACCACTGCACCAAGCCTTGTCTCTGACTATGGGAAACCACAGCACTGTGGAATCCATTTAGACTCAAATTCTCCTGTTTGTCAGCTGAGTGGAAAGAATCCATATGGGAGAATGATGAGAAACAAAGCAAAAGAAGAAGGAGAGGAAGAAGAAATTTACCTTTGCATTCCGGGGCTGGACCACTCCATCTCCCATTGAGGTTATCATCTGCTGTACAGTGAATTGTGGCGTTTCCAATGAGAGAAAACCCATTTTTGCAGCTGTAGGTTACAGCTACCCCAAAGGTGTAATCTGTGTGCACACCACTGAACTGTCCGTTCTCAATGGCAGGAGGTGACTGACAGGGAATAACTGCACAGGAAAGCAATGGTAGGAAAACACAGAAACATTTCCATCAAACGTGAGGCTGAGGTCTACAAACTTCTACAAACGAACAAGTGACTGCCAAGAAAAGCCAAAGGAAAAACAAGGAAGCAGCCCTAAGGCAACCATCTCAACCCAATGTCCTGAATGCTGACACTCCTTCAGATTCCACACATATTTTTTTCGTGATAAAGCAGCAGAGAAGCAGCTCTAGTCTGAGAGGAGAGGCTGAAGGAGAGGTGTGCAGCAGTAGCTTTGAGGACCTACACAAAGCACGTAAGATGCACTCACCTTCACAGTGTGGAACGTGATCCCAAGTGACATCACTGCCACTCAGAATGCATTGCGCCGTCGGATTCCCAACCAGACGGTACCTGAGAGCAAAAAGATTGAGCCTCTTCAAAATAAGTGTGAAAAAACTCATGAAATGCAAAGCTGTGCAGTTTCTAATGGCGCTCTCCGCAGAAGCTGAGCCTCAGGGGAAAAAACAGCCATCCAACCCATAAAATACAATTTCAGTACCTAAAGGCTCACTGCAGCCTTCCAGTATTTGAAAGGAGAGTACAAACAGGAGGAAGAACGGTTGTTAATGAGGGTAGACAGTGATAGGACAAAGGTGAATGGCTTTAAACTGAGACAGGGGAGGTTTAGGTTGGATATTAGGAGGAAGTTTTTCACACACAGGGTGGTGAGGCACTGGCACAGGTTGCCCAAGGAGGCTGTGGATGCCCCATCCCTGCAGGCATTCAAGGCCAGGCTGGATGTGGCTCTGGGCAGCCTGGGCTGCTGGCTGGCAACCTGCACACAGCAGGGGGTTGGAAGTGGATGAGCACTGTGCTCCTTTGCAACCCAGGCTGTTCTATAATTCTGAAGAAAGGCAGCATTGGATGTAATGCTGTCAGCAGAGGGGAACACAGGAGCTTCCCCAGCCCCATGCTGTGCAACGGAGGGTCAGAAATGTCACCAACACCCCCATCACTGCTCCCGTTCCCTGCATCCCCAGTGCTCCAAAGCCTAAGGGCCCTTAGCTGAGACACTGAGCTGCAAGACATTTGCAAAGAGCTCACTCTCACCCCCAGAGCATCACTTGTTCTGACAGCAGGAGCAGGAGGAGCCCGGGCCCCACAGCTGCCTGCTCATAGCACCTCCTGCAGGAACAGGGACTCAGCCCCCAGGCTTTAAAAGCATCCCATCCCCTCACTGCTGCCTCCATCCTCGACCCACTGCAGCCTTACCCAGCCCTGCAGGTGAAGTTTACTGTAGCTCCAAACTGGAGGTTGGTGCTGAAGTGGAAGTCACCATTCGGTATTTCTGGCAGTTCACACGACTTTCCTGGCAGGGCAAATGCTCACCATTAGTTGTTTTTTATCACAGTCAATGGCACACAGCATCACACTGCTGTTCAGAGTCACTGCAGAGCAGGAGCTCCTTTTCCTGCCTTCCTCCCCAGCACTTTCAGAAACACAGAATCACTTCAACTTTCGAGGAATGGAAGGTTAAACACAGCCAAGGGCAAAGAGCACAAAAAAAGTTTACCTGATTACTGAGGCTTGAAACTGATGTAGAAGTGAAATCACGGTCTGTAGGGGAGGAAAGCAGCGCAGAAGGGGCAGAAGGAAACCCGAGTGTTATGCCAGGACAGCGCATGGGGAATCTTGCTGCCTTTGTCCCTTTGTACCCTACTTCTCTGGAATTCTATTTCAGCGTTTGCACCGCATCAGCAGGTGGTAAAGTGAGTAAGGACAGAGTCCATGCCCGAGAGATTAACATGCCTCAGCACAAAGGGCAGCTCTGCTCGGGCACTCCGAGTACCCAGAACAGGGATTAACAGCGATCCTTTTGGGGCATCCCTCCCAGCTGTGTGAAACCTTGGGGCTTCCGGGGACCCCGCACCCACACGGCGGCTCTCACCGATGCAGAAGTCGGCTTCTGACGCCCAGGTGGAGTTGGGCAGGCAGGTGACGCGGTTGGACTTGCTCACGTCTCTCGTGTACCCTGGGCGGCAGCGGTACTTCAGCACCTCCCCAACGGGGTACGAAGCGTTGGTAGGACCGGGGGGCTCCGCAAAAACGAACCTCGGCGGTTCCGGGCAATCACCTGCGGGCGTGGGGAGGCGATCAGCAGCGCTCCTGGCGGTGTTTTCCCCCTCCGCTCCCCCTCGGCTCCAACTCACCGCACGCTCCGGGCAGCGCCAGCAGCGCAGCGCCGAGCCGCAGCAGCGCCGTTCCCACGGCCATCCCTGGATGCTCCGACAGTTGTGCGGCGATGCTGCGAGCAGCCCGGCAGCACGGCTCCTTACAGCACGGCTCCTTACAGCACGGCTCCTTACA